TTAAATAACAGTTGCATAAAGTGCACTAATACTCAGTAACAATTTGTAAAAACACTTAAATAATCGCTCCACAAAATACATTAAAACACTCAAAAATTAATAAAACATTTAAATAACCACACCATAAAACACACTAATATATCCGTATACACGTGCACAATCAGTTAAGAAAACACACCAGTAAAGTCACTGACACTTGTAGAATCACACCATTAAATTTATTAATACACCCACGTATTTATTAAAGCACACTACACATTACACTAGGTACACTAATATATCCGTATATGCATGCAGGAAACACACTGGTTAAGTCACTGACACTTGTAGAATTACACCATTAAATTTATTAATACACCCACGTATTTATTAAAAAATATTTATTAAAGCACACTAGGTATTAGTAGTAACACGCTAGGTAACGCATGGACAAGCACAATATCGGATAAGTGAACCCTTGACTCGTACCAGTATGTGTTGACAGGTCGCATCTGACCTCCTCGACTCCCGAAACTCAACTGAGCCCGGTTGACCTCCTCAAGTGCACAATCATTGGTAGTTTACAATAGCCAATTAGACTTCATAATAATCCACCAATAAATCAAATTCAAGTGTAGGAGTGATTGGTAGTGTAGAGTAGCCAATTAGACATCATGTAATCCACCAATAGCGTGCAACCACACCGATTGGATGTTGTATAATTATTTTAACGCTAATTTTTTTATAATTTTATATTTTTCGATTGTTTATTAACAAATTTATTGTTGCAACTATTTAAATTTATTATTTTTTTTAACTTACTTTTGCAGATATTTTGCAAAATGATTGTTAATTAATATTTTACGATATATTTTATTGTAATTAATCATTTTTTAGTTTTTTATTCATAAAATTGTTGTTGTAACTATTCATATTCGTCGTTTTTATTAACTTATTCTAGCAGATATTTTGCAAAATGATTGTTAATTAATTTATTACGATATATTTTATCCATATATTTCATCCATTCTATTCTATTCTAGATATTCAATTATCTATTTTAAATATCATTACATGATGTAATTCTTTGTAATTATTTATTACCGAAGAGACTCAGTATATTGTGCGAACTGTTTTAGACCCATAATAGTTTCATATTTTTAAAAAAGTTTTATTCTTATATGTTGTTAAAAAATCAAATTTACGCGCGGTTTTTTAAAGAGTGACGTCATCAAGGAAAAAGGAACTAGTAGCGCCATCTCTCCGGCGAACAGGGTGAACTACACGTTTTTGAAACTGCACTTTCATTAGTTCTCCACACTGCCACTGGACGGCGCCACGTGTATCTTTTTCCGTTAAATTCAATTAATATAGTTGATTTTATTAGTATAATCGAATATAATATGAATCAATTGTTTTGACTTTACTAAATATATTTTCAAATTCAATATATTTTGTAGAGCAATCATTTTGGTACATTATTTTCTTTTTCAACTTTTCAACGCCGTAAAATTTATAAAAATACTTCAAAAGACAATATTAGTAATATACAAAAAATTTATTACAAATATATTCCAAATTATTAGAGATTGACATGAAAGTAGATTTGCTCGATTTAAATTTTCCGCTCGTTTGCGCAATCAATTTAAAGGGACAGCGTTTTCGAGAGAACAAAGGCGCCGACAGAGAATGTCGCCTCTGGTATACTCTGTGATGTTACTGTAGATGATAGAAATTTGCTCCCCATAGCTGCCATTTTCCCCAGGGAAACCAGCTTTGCACATGAATGCACTTTATACATACATATATATTTGTAACCTGTGCATGTATACACTTGATATAATACCAAACATATGACTCAGTACCAACACATAATACTAACATTAAATATATATAACATAGAATTACGCTATAAATATCATTACATATTACAAGAAAAATCTTTCATTTGATGTAATTAATTTACGTATTAACATTTTTGAATTGGAGAATTAAAAAATTTGATAAAATAAAAATCATAAACGATTCCTGATTCAATCAAAGCACCATCTAGCAAAATATACGCACAACAATATTGACCGCACAGTAGGAAATGATTATTCGAATTCAATCTGTTTCACAATTCTACTTCTATGCCAAAATGGATGAAGGTTGGTGAAGGAAGAAGTTGTGAAAACAAACTGTGAATAGAAAATTGCAATAAGTGATACGATATTGGTGTAGGACCGAACAATATACAATACATTTAGAATTAGTAATCATGTCTAAAAGCAAACTGCACTATCAAGTTGACAGCAGTATTGTCGCGGTGAAAAGCAAAGTAAGTCACTTTCTAATTTAAATTCCCTACTTTCAATCTTCATAGACAAAATAATCAAGTTCAGAATATTTATATTATCTTCCTCTGTATCTTTTTTTATTTACTTTTACATATAAATAATATTCATTCTTTTCTAGTTTGATGCTGATATCATAAGATTTTCAATCAACCGTAATGAAGCTATTAGTTATGAAGATTTTAGAAAGTTATTGGCTGAGCGACATGATATTGGACCAGATTTGAATTTTCTTATTTGGTATACAGATCCGACTGATGGTGATTTATTACCTATTAATAATGATAACAATTTAGCGAGAGCTCTGCTTGCTGCGAAACCGCTTCTTAGAATCTTTATACAAAGAAAGGGTAAGCTAATTTTGTTAAAATAATTGTACAATTTCAAGTAGTGTGTATATATTAATGTTAATTCATATAAATTGTAAATTAAGTAAATAAAAAATATTGTTAAACAAGTAATATAATTTTTATGAAAAGATAAAGCTGATTTTAACCCTTTGATTATAAAAGGTGAATAATTTTTAATATTATAACTACAATATTTTTTATTTTAAATAATCATGTTTTTCTTAAGAATATACTTGTTTTCTAAATTTGTACGATAAATTTTCCTGATCCTTTTTGTATATAAAAAATCATGAAGATACATGCAATGTGTATGACATGAGTTGATTACATTAAGAAGATCGATAAAAACATTAATTCTAGTGGTGTAGTAGTTAGATAATCTTAGTATTTTAACAGGAGATGGATTAGAAGATATAAATGGATATGGAACAATGAAACCAAAAAATCTAATATCAAGTATCCTTGGTGGCACACCTGGAAAACCAAAGTCTTTGGCTATATCTAATCCGCATGATTTTAGGCAGGTATGTTTTATTTGTTTTATTCCAAATGCATATAAGCAATAACTGCATGTGTATTATGACTTTTCTTAATATTTACAGGTATCAGCAATAATAGATGTAGATATATTACCAGAAACATGCCGTCGTGTACGTTTGCTGAAACATGGCTCTGACAAACCATTAGGATTTTACATTAAAGATGGAGAAAGTTTTCGAATATTACCACCTTCTGCAGGAGGTGGTATTGAAAAAGTTCCAGGTGTATTTATCAGTAGATTGGTACCAGGTGGTTTAGCTGAAAGCACAGGTCTTTTAGCAGTAAATGATGAGGTTCTTGAAGTGAATGGTATAGAGGTTGCTGGAAAAACACTTGATCAGGTAAATAATTTTTCAATTCATTACTAAATGTAAATGAATCTATGGTATTCCTTATGTGTAAGAATATGTATACATGTATCTTTTTAAATAGGTAACAGACATGATGATTGCCAATTCTTCAAATCTGATAATCACAGTAAAGCCAGCAAATCAAAGAGCAGCATTAGCTGCGCCAAGACGTGGTTCGTTTTCACGTAATAGTCAACTATCCTCTGGAAGTCATCAATCTACGCAAAGTGCTGCAACTGGCAGTGATGAAGATGCAGATGAAATAGTAGATTTAACTGGTGTAACGTTACAAGATGATGCAACAACTTCCACATCTCAGCATCATCATTATCATCATCACCATCATCAAAATCATTTTAACCACGATCAAGGTGTTTTACATTTATAAATGGCACACTACTTAAAACTTTTTTTGTATTATGTTATGCTCATTTGAATATTGGAGGATTCAATATTCATTCATACAAAAGAAAAGAATTTAGAACTAAGTATAAAGGTATAACATGACAATAAGAAGTTAAAATAACGAAATATGAAAGACGGAAAATTCGTATAATTATTATTTAATAAATATAATAATAATTCTGCTATGGAAATTGCTATAGGAAATGCAATTTATAAAAACAGTATATTTTTACAAAAACTTTTAGTGCCTTTAAATTCAATGCATTAACCATTGAAATCATTTAATACTATCAATTAGTCTTATTTTATTAGTATTTCGTCAAAATCCATTTTTAAAATTAATGAATATATCGAAAGTGCTTTATACGTAAAATAAATGATAAGTATTAGTGGTAAAAAATATGCTATTTTTAGAAATTGAAATGAAAATCAGAAGTAGATGTTCGAATTCTATAATTCGTTTAACATGTATTATTTATATTAATAATTTTCGAAGGCAACTATAAAGTAGCGTATCTAGAAAGTATTAAAACGACAAAAATGTTTAAAAAATAGTAAACCTGATGAAGGTAAAAATAATGTACTTAATAGTAAAACATGATATATTTTTCATGTAAGGTTTTCATATGATAACAAAGATTTTAATAGAGAAATTTTTCTTAGTCGTTTGGTATGATTAAGAAAATGATAATACAAGTATTTACTGCGTACGAAAGTATTATTAGAGAGCAGCAATGTTTTTAAAGTATTAAAATAATATTTAAGCAATAATGTGAATTGCGAATGAAGATAAAACTTCAAATATCAGCATTTACTTCTTTATCGTATAATTTGTCTTAATAGTATAATTATTAATGATGTTATTAAATTCGGTAATGTTTTATTCATTATCCTATAATACATTAATAATTTTAATCAATAATCTTTTCGATGATTTTTTTTAATGTATATAATGCAAATAACAAGGTTCAATAACTTAATTTATCAATATAAGTAGAGATCTTTATTCAAGGATAAAAAATGTATATAAAAGTAGTTTAAGAGGACGAATTACTGGATATGAACATCTTATTTTTCATCAAACATAAGCGTAAAAGATCGAGTGGCCTTATGCGTGGATCATTCCAAACATCTTTTACAGAAATACAAAAGTGATTATTTTTATTGTACTCCATTCAGACACGTCCATTCGTATATGTATTCTGTTTTCCTCTGCAAGTTTAAACTGTTAAAGTTTTTGAATTTTAATTCCATTTTACAAATGTTATTTGTTGACTAATTGAGCACTAGATATTGAAATGTAATGTACTTTACAAATTTTAGATATAAGTCAATTTTTTAAGGATAAGAAACATATTTATATATAATACATGTATAATAGTTTCTTTATATATTTGTGCCTTCACTATTCCGTCTATTACTATAAAACTGGATTGTGATCAATTATATTGCATTCCATTTACATAGTGTGTTTGTAGTGTATGAAGAATATGCAGTCCATGCGAATTATATATTACTTTTTAAAATGAAACTTCATTAAACACTTTCATATTTATTTCGTTACACTTTTTAAACAAATTATCAGATATGTATGTATATAAAAGAAAAGTTAGAATTTTATTTTAACACGGTTATAAAACAATTTCTATGGTAAACAGTTTAGTTGCACAATCAGAAAACATTATTCTTATAATTGATGTAATTATTTTTAAGTTTACTGGTTCTATTTCATATGAATTATTTTAAGTGTACATGTTACAGATAAACACAAGGTATAATATCCAGTAAAACCTTATGTATAAAATCAAGAAGTTTTTTGTGAAGGAATATATAAAAAAGATAATATGTATTTTGAAATTATGCTTATATATAACAGATACATATATATGTATATATATATAAAATTTTGTACTTAAATAAAATATATACATTAATATGAATTTGTTATTACTAATAGTTTCTAATGAAAGTATAATTATTTTAGTACAATTTAAATTTCAAACAATTTATTATATATTATAAAATATATGTCTTGTTTGCACTGTATTTTATAATAATGAACATGAATCAGAAAATTAGAAAAATGTTGTTTGTAGTAATACAAGTATTTTCTATAGCAGCTAATTGAATAAAATGTTATTGGTCACCTTTTATAGTTTTCAGTTTTGTTTCTTAATGGTTACTATGGTATACAAATAGAAACAGTAAAATAAATATATAATTTACTTCATATAGTATATTTTTTAGAAAAATTCTAGACCCCACTATTATGTTCATAATAGTAATAATAATAACTCATGTATAGGCTAAATATTCGAAAGGAAACTTATAAGCAATATGTCCTATGCAGAACATGGTCCTCGAATTTTTTTAGCCAACAGATCTAACGGCGGAACACCTCTAATATACGGTGATTATGTTTTGCCCAAAAAGCGAATAGAAGGTCGATTAAAACTATATGATTCTTGTTCAGATATTAGAGCTTGGAGTCCGAATTATGTAGAACATTCACGTTACTTTCGTGAACTTAACGAAAATGGTTCACCAGTATGTATCAAACAAATATTATTTGAAAAACAAAATCTTTTTATTTGTATAATTATATAAATTAAAAATAAATTTATGTTTTAGGTGGGGAAAATCATACCATTCAATGTTGTGATTGATAACATAATTCAATTAAATTCACAAACTCAGAATGAACTCCAAATAGTCAAAAAAGAATTAGAAAAATATAAAAGCCTTCAACTTTCTCCTAAACAAGAACAACAATTACGAAGTTTAGTAAGTATTTAGTATTCTGAATATATTTATTTTCTAAACTATTTGATTAATAGTAATATCTATATCATTTCTTATAGGAAAATAAACAAGAAATAAAAGAATTGTTGCAAAATGATAATTGTACATCACAATTAAAAGATGCATTTCTTAATATTAGTAAATCAGTTCCTGCAATTAATTCAAATTCATATTTATCAATTCATGTACCCTTCAGAAAACATTTTCAAAATAAAACTAAAGACAAACCAATTTTAAGAATTCAACCAAATGAGATACATTCTTATTCTGCGACTGCAGTTGATCCATCTTTAAATAATAGTAGTTTAGTATCAACATATCAAAGTATTAAATCACTTATTACTGAAGGTATAATAAACGAATATCTAAATATTTTTAATTTATTTACTTTCAATTATGAACCCAATTTTTCAGACATAAATGATAAACCAGCACCCTGGATAGAATATATCGACGTAGGTGTACAAGTAAGAATGTTGCACCAATAATAAATTTTGCTTATTATTATTAATATCATTTACATGAATCCCCTTTACAGGTGGATATAAAACCATGCAACATAGAAAAGATTGATAATCAGATAGATAAATATTTAAATAAAACTTCAAGTTTAACACCTGTATGAATTTGAATTTTTCTGCATTTAAATGTGATGTTTATATACATATTATTATTTAGGCAATATCACGAGCATCATTTACACCTAAATACAGTGATCAAGATACCACTATAACGGAATTGGACAGCAGTAGTATACAAACAAATAATGACAAAGAACAAAGTTTTGAATGCGATGCATCTTGTAGTGAAAGTTCACAAAATATTGAAACAGAATGTAGTTTTGATTCACATCAAAGTACTCATAAAGCGATTATTATTCAAAAAGATTCAGAAATCATTTCTTTAGAATATAAATTACGTGTATGAAATTCTGTATTTAATCTTATAATTTTAACAATTACGTTCCTATTTTATTTATTATTACATGTAATCAATATGTTAATTCAATTAATATTAACGTGTTTAATATTAAATTCAAGGCAAGAGATGATGAATTAGAAGAATTACGAGACGCAAACAAAGAATTGAAAATATCACTAAGTACTCAACAAGAGAATCTTAAAGCAAGTACATAAAATGTATTATGATAAAGTAAAATAATATTATTTAATCAAAATATTATGGATAATTAATATTTTATAAATGTTATGTAGATGATACATGACAGATTCTTCAAATTGTACCATCAACATAATTATGAAGTAGAAAGTTTAAAGCAACAGGTAACACATATTGTTCTAGCAGTATTCAATGTCTTGAATTAATTTATCATTTATTCTTTTAGCTTCATGATTACAAACATTTAATAGAGCAACTACAAAAAGATTTAAATGATAAATGTAAAACTTGCCATTTACAATCTCAAGAAATTGAAAAACTTCAATTATGCAACAAAGATGTAGCGATGCTACAATCAGAGAAAAATTGCCTTTTAGTTAGTAATTCGTTATAAATATACTTTTTGAAATAAAAATACTATTTATTTTTTTTTTTATATTCATGTTTTTGTTGCAGAAAAAATTACAAGAAATGGAACAATCTATTAAAAACGCTAAAACTTATAATTTGGAAAAAATAAAATGTATCTCACAACAGAAAGATGAACTTGAAAAACAAAATTATGAACAAAGTTGTATGATAACAGATCAAGAAGAAGAAATAACTCAATTATTAGATGTGATTAAAGAAACGTCTATTACATATGAAGAACAGGTATATTATTTTGTATAGCTAATAATTAATATATATCAACTAATAGATATATTTTATGTTATCTATTAGATGAAGACAAAGGATATGTTAGAGAATTTAAAAGCTGAAATTCATAATAAGAATATTAAAATTTCTCAATATGAAAAGCAATTAGTTTCTATTAAACAAGAAATTAGTGATTTCTTTAATAATTTGAAACACGCTTTAAACAATTTGGAAGATCTCAATGGTTCATGTGACGATGTTTGTAACTGTGCAAACTGTGATTTAGATATTAATGAAGAAGCCAACAATGTGTTACTAAATATAAATGTTATTATGACAAGATTTCAAAGTTATAAAATAGAAAGTCAGAATCTTTTACAACAACTACAAGAGTTAAAACAATGTATAGAAAATAATAAACAACAAATTCATCTGAACCAAAGTTTAGAAAATATAATTTGTGAAGACTGTTATTATGAATCTGATCTAAAACTTAAAAATACAAGTAATTTTGTATATATATATGAATTAAACATGACAGTAATATTTTTCTGCTATTCATACAAATCATTGGTACTTTATTTGCTTAGGCGGGAAGAATAATGTAATTGTGCTTAGTATTGAGCAAAATAAAAGCAGTGTAAATGAATTAGAATTTGAAGATGATATTTCTACTTCTATTACAAATCACAATTGCTTAGATACAACAAACAACAATTTCAACTTTTATAAACATGAAACTGTAATATTAATATTAATTACATTTTGTTATAATATATTAAATAACAAAATACTGTTTCTCAATAGGAATGTGACAACCGTATTGTAGAATTAAACCAAAAAACTAATGTTGATAAAGAAGGAAAAAAGATCCTCGAATATTTTTCACATTTCCTGATTAAACTGCGTTCACTTACTCAACAAATGAAAATATATGTAGAGACTGAACGTCCATTCATAATTAAACTGATTTACAGTTTTTACGACATTCTCGAAAATATTCAATCAGCTATTAATATTTCTCAGGGTATTTTGAATTTATATTTTTATAACACTTATATAAGCATCAATTACTTTACTCTTTTTGTTAGATATTACAATGAGGAAGCAACATATCTCTAACTTATATAATCAACATAAAGAAGAATATATGAAGTGCGCTTTCAATATTAAAGAGTTACCTCCTGGTTTATTGAAGATACAAAACAAAATAAATGAATTTATTGGAACCATTCTATGGCAATTGTTAGATGAAATATTACATAAAGAAAGAAACACTTTGCACGATAAACAAATTAATCATGCATTTGAAATGTACTTCAAATCTTGTATTGATAGAGTTAATAATGCTCTTCACGGTATAATTTTATTATATACTTTAAAAAGTATTAACTTCATACATACATAACAAATGATCTTATTAAGGTGCTGGAGATCATCATATTCAAATAGTTGAAGAAATTGAAAAACAGCAAAAAGAGTTACAAAAAAAAGATACAGAAATAGCTCAGTTAAAAGAGGAAGTGGCACAGCATTTAGCAAGGAGAGGAGAAGGCGATTGCTTGCATCAAAGGGAATTAGAAAATAGTATTGCAATTAAAGAACAATTATCAAAAGTGACTGCAGAGCTTAGTAATAAAAATGGAATTATATTAAAATTGAAAGACCAGCTTCAAATATTTAAAAATGAATTATCCACACACAATAAAAACCGTAATGCATTGAAGAAAAAAAATAAGAATTACAACAATATTAAAGATAAAAAATGTTTATTGTTAACAGTGAAGAATAAGATAATTAAAAATTTATCCCAGCGATTATCCGAAGTAAATGATGTAAATGTTAATATGACGAGCAAACTCATGGAAATAGAAAGAAAGTAATATTTTTTTTATTTTTGTTATTTCGCTCAATACTTAATATCTTCATTTATAACTGGTAATAACATTTTTGTAGATTATGTGACATAAAGCACGAAAACCGCAAACTACAAGACCAAATTATGCAGGCAGATACGATTATTTCAAATAACAATAAAACTATAATTAATTTAAAAGATAACATTGAGAAAAATGAAAATATTGTATTGAGAAACATCACAGAACATCAAAACGTAGTAAAAGAAAAAGATTATGAAATTGTGAAACTGAGAAATGAAAATGAATTGTCAAGTGCAAAATTGAAAGATATGGAAAATAAATTGATCAAAATGAATCAAACAATTACATCTTTAACAGAGCAACATGACAAAATTAATATCATATATATGATGCAAGAAGATTTTGCAAAATTAGATAAAAGCGAGAAGAAATTAAAAGCTGAGCTTAACAGTCTAAAAATGCAAATTGTAAATGATCAAAATAATAATAAAAAACTTAATAACAATTTGGATACGTTGATATCCGAAAATGAGAGCTTACAAAAATCTATTGAATATTGGAAAAATGAAAACTCCGAATTATCAATTAAACTCTGTAATGAAGTTACTGATGTAAAGTTGAAGAATCAATTATATACTCTTTCAAACAAAATACTCGACAGGTTATCAATTCTTAAAAAACAATCTACTGTAGGAGAAAATTTACCAACTCATCATTTTAATGAACACTTGCAGAATAAGCACACAGTTAATAAAATAATTTTTTATGTAACTCTTACTTGCATATGTTAGTTAATTTAATTTTATTAAAATTTTTAACTGTTATTAGATATATCAAGATCAACTGGCAGACAATGATGCTAATGATGTTAATAAAATTAATTATATAAATAGAAATTTAAAATCAAAGTCTAAAGACCCGGAAAAAGAAATAAAAGAAAACGAGATAGAAGAAATTGAGTTACAAGAACAGCTGAATATCGAAAATACAGAAAAATATATAAGCTCAAATGACTGTATAACATTTGAATTTGAATCTTCGAAAAACAATAATAAAAACATAAAGCACAAAGCAAAGTCTGACAAAAATGGGCATTATAGAAATAAAAATGAAATTGAAAAATTATTGAACGAAATTGAAATTAAAAATTGTAAAATAAGAAATTACACAGAAACTATACAACATTTAACGCAAGAAAATACAGATCTTCGTGCTATTCTTAAAGTATATATTATTTAACATTGCTATGTTATGTACATTACGCTGTATTCAATAACATTATATGAAATAACATATTTTTTTCTTTTCATGCTTTAAAAATTATTGTAAAGACTCAAGCAGAAGAATATCAAACTAAATTGGTATTAATGAAGAAACGATATGACAGCAGTTTAAATGCAGTTAATGAAAGACATAAGGAAAGCGTTGAAATTTTACAAAAACAATTTGAAGATAATTTAAAAAGTGAAAGAATTTTTGAACCGGAAAATTGGTTACAAGTAAGGAACATAGTTAATAAATAATAATTGTATAAAAGATAAGTATTAAATAAGTTTCATTTCAGTCGCTGAATATGAAAGAATTAGTAGAACTTTACGAACGAATAAGCGTAATTATAAATAGCAATGAAAATTTAATATGCACAAAAAATAAAAATCAATTTTTCTGTGAGAAGGATGTACAAAAACAATTTTATACAGAAATTCGTGAAATAGAAGAAAGATTGCATATGACTGAAAAAAATATGTATGAAAAAACCGATAGAAACAATATTTTAAAATTAATACAAGATGATTCACCTGAAAAACAATGGCCACTTACCATTTTAAGTGATATGCAAAATTATCCAACTTTACAAACACAAGACGACAAGCCTAGTATGGAGCACAATATTAAGTAATAATATATTTATTCCTTTAATCCATATGGAGTATATCGGATTGTATAATAATTGAATATTACAGGTTTCCGTATTGTGAAGAGAAATCCCCAGTACTAGAAAATAAATATAAAAAAGAAAAACAAGCAGAAAAAGATAGTACTGTAAGTATGATCTTTCTAAGTTACAGATTATGTTTCAGTTCAATATTCTAACATTTTATATTTAATACAAATTATTTGCAGTTTGATCAGCAGAGATGGAATTTTATAAATCAATGCAGCGCATACCATAAATTAAGCAATAATTACGAATATTCTCGGTCTATTCATACAGATTAATTTCGTTAAAAACTTTTTTTATAACAAAGCTATTTAACACAGTGAAAAAATAATTTGAAAAAATTTGTAACACACGTAACAAACTTTTATATATTATTTGTTCTAAATTTTATTGTTGTAATATTTTTGATATTTCATTTATTTAACCACAAATCACGTTGAAATTTTAATAAAAAAAAAATTAAGTAATATATAATAATTTTTACAAGGAATTTAATTTATTTACGAATAATTTAAAAAATATAACACTGCTTTAAAAGCAACAGTGGAATTTCATATAAAAAGATATAAGTAGTAATACAATAAAAACTTACAAATAATATAATATCATTACTAAATATATACAAATTGATCAGTACTAATAATTCATTTATTTTTATAAATAAATGAAGTACTAATAATTCTACTAGTACTTGTCAGACTCAGTCTACGAGTCATTATACACTAAATTAGCAATTTGATCACAATTTGTTACAAAATCGAAGGCACTGCTATATTTTAAAATTTCATTTTTTAGTTCTTGGAGTTTTTTTATGCCATTTTTATGCGATCTTACGTTCCTCTTTTTATATCTAACTGCTGTAATCATTTTATCCAAAGTGTAATGAAGCCATAAAACATTTGTGTATGGTTCGAATTTCTGCCAATCATTCCTGAAATAGTTGTTACATAAGTATATTTATAATATACTTATGAATACAAAAGAAATTTAATAAACATACTTACATAATTTTATCTCTCATCAAGCGATATATTTCAAACTGGTATTCACCTTGAGCCGTAAAAAGTGTAGGATCTAATGCAAGATCATTAAATACACTACATCCTTGATATGTTACTCTTGAAAGAGTGAAATCTATAATAGACACCTAACACAACAAATTTAACTTTTTAGCCTCTGCTAACACTTTATTACTGATTAAAAAATTAATTCATTATAGTTATTTCATTATACCTGTACACCTTTACTAATTAATTTAATATTCTTTCGTCCAAGCTTATAATATACATGAGACTCATTTGTAGGAGATATTAATATATTTCCCCAATGTAAATCTCTGTGCTCAAATTCGACAGCTTTCTCTGCGACTGCTAATGCTAATGAGGTCTGTTAACAATCATTTAATACGTTTATTTATGCTTTTATGATTTTAATTATAGTATAAAAATAAGACATAATTGATATTTATTTAATATAACTGAAATTAATATCAATGCATGATACAAGACTTTCAAACAGAAATACCTGTATAAATAATATATAAGCTTCTTCTGCTGTCGGAAATACAAAGGCTTCTAAATCTTGACCACCATGTCCAAGTTCCAGAACAATATACAGTTGATCATCATTAAAAATTGATGGGCAATCATTATCTGAATGTTTTTCTTCATCATACATATTCCAAAGTGCTACAAGTTTTTCTGGATACTTTCCCTTGATACATTTAATATTTTTCACTTCAACAAATCCGTCAGTCTTATACATTTTGTTGAATCTTAAATTATGTAATTCCCTAAAAATATTTTATCTTGAAAATTAATCTAATAAATCATAATCATTAAAATCAATATTTCACGGGTATAATTACATTGCAATTACAATTTCTGACAATATTTCATGAAACTTTTTCTGTGGTTCACCGTTTATATATTCAGTTCCTTCTATAGGAATAACTTTTACGACAGACTTTTTATCTCCGTGTTCATAAAGAAATACTTCTCCATACACACCTTCTCCAATCTTTCGACAATATTCTAAGTATCTAAAAAAAAGTACTATTACAATGGTTCTTTCTTTTAATACTTAATATTATATTTATGCATGCTTACGAATCAGTAAAATATGAAGAAAATGGTATATAATCTTCTTGTGAACATCTCTGTAAAATAACTTCTTTTGCTGTTAAAGGAACATGCTCTTTAATAATTTGATCATTGAAATCGTCGTTTTGAATACTGCATACGGAAGATTTCTCAGAAGCTATATAAAAACATATACATAATTTAATTAATCTTAAAAGTAGTCATTATAATTGATACTTTGATATAATTAAACGAAAAATTAACTTACTACTTATTAAGGTATATCTCTGATTTTTTAGAGGAACAATACCATAAACTTCAAGAAATGGAACATCACTAATGGATTTAACAGTTTTATGTATTGGAACGACACGGACCGATACTCTTCGTGAAAGATGTCCAAAATTAGTAGAATCACAAGTTCTACTTTTGCTATTATCCAATATACTTTCAGATTCATTACTTTCTTCATTGCATACTTGCAAGTCTTTGTCACTACTATTTTCTTTTATGCAACTTTGTAAAATTCCTACAAACACAGTTTATAATTAATATTTTAGTCTTTGAAATAAATCTAGTTTATGATTCAAATGTGAAACCCACCCATTTACCACACTACTTAAATCAATGGTAATCACATAATAGCTGTGACATATAATTCATGCAATTTTATACATTATATAAAAAAACAAAAGCTGTTAAAAAAGTAAAAAATAGAAAATGGTTCAAAAGTATATATTATACATATATTCTGATATTAAAAAGAATGAAACATTAATGTTTCAGGTTAATTTTGTTTTATTAAAATATAAAAAAAAAGAAAGTCATATCAAAGTTCATGGACATTACTTTAAACCTTCTTCACATTGCAATAAATATAGTTTGAAATTTAACTTTCATGTAATTTTTATGCATATAATAATCATGTAACTATTACCTTGTTTTTGCATATTTAAGACATCTTGTACACTATGTCTCCATTTTTTGCCCTTACCAATAGATAACTTGTCCAATTTAGATAAATTTTGGATATTGTTCAAAATTGATAAAGATCTTGCCCAAGATTTACCAGGCTTCAAGAAAATAGGTTTAATTATTTCGACAGATTTTTCAATAACTGATTCTTCCATTATATTTTCTAATGGCAACAATTCTTTTCTCGCTAATGTTTCTTTCCTTTTTAATTCATTTTTTCTTCTCAAGTTCAGCTGTTCTGTACTATTACTACAATCTTCAAGAATACTAGTTAAACCACTATTCCGTCTATAAGATTTTTTTCTTGTTGAAACTCTAATAGGATCTTGTAACCGTTTCAAAATTACATAACAATCATGCATACTATTATTATTTACAACAGAATTATTTATATTTGGTTCAGCTAAACTTTCAACGTGTTCTAATATGTTTTCCTTATTATCATCATTATCATCTGTTTCAACTGCCTTTGATGTAAATTGTACATTATCGGATGAAGCATCTAAAATCACTGATTTTGAAGAATGTAATAACTCAGATGATTTTTCTTTAACTTCATCACATATTACCTTCATATCAGTATTAGTTATACTTATCTGTTTTTCAGATAACTGAACAGAATTATAACAAATTTCACGCAATGGTGTATTTGTCTTATTTAACATTATATTATTGGGAGATGCTTTTATTACATCATGTACAATAACATCACTATATATTTGGTTCTCAGTGTGTTCATTAGTATCATCAAATAAAGAATGAGATTTATCTGCATCAACAGAAAAGTTTAATTGACATTTCGTTTTTCTTGTATCTGTAATTACACATTCTTGGACTGATTTATTTGACATATCATTCTTCTCTATTTCATTTGTAAAAATATTTTGTTCTATTGAAAACTTTTCTTGATTGCAAATATTGTTATCAGTATAACTAAACATAGTCAGTGAATTTTCTAATGGTTTTATATTGCACTTGTTAGAATTAGATATATTTGTTAAACCAGTAGAAAATAAATCAGATTCTCTTTCAGATATAAATTTACCTAATACATTCGATTTTTTATCTAGTGTATTTGCTTGATTAGATCTATTAGGAATTAAATCTTTATTGTCTACAGTACTTAAAACATTGTCACTACAAGACATAGAATGATTTAAGTTTTTAGAGCATCCAATAGGAATTGGTGACAAAGGAATTAAATTAACAGATTTTACTGTTCTACTATAAGGTGTACTACTGAATATTTTCTCATTTTTTTTCCCAAAATTAATTGATTTTGCAAATGAATCTATATCTAATTGCTTACTAAAACAATGCTTTGCATTATTGCATTCTAAATTTTTTATATTTACAGATGAAGTACTTCCTATCGAATTTATTTCATTATTATTTTCTGTTATACTATATTTATGTAGAACTACAGAACATGGTTTTATTTGCACATTTTTTGTAGACTGTTTGTTTAATTTACTAGTATTCTTCTTATTTTTGTGTGAAGAATGTTTCCCATTATAATTTTCAATCTCTGAACCAGTTTCTGAATGTAAATTTAGAGAATCAGTATTTGATACTATAGATGTTGACTTATTATTCTTTTTTCTTTTGCGTAACATATATCTTTTACAAGCATCATCTTTTTTTACCTACTCAACAATATATGTCTATTAACAATTTTCTCATAACTTCAAAAATTAATAATATAATTTACCTTAAATTTTACATTTTTTTGAGACCGTGATGGGTTTTTCTTGATTGTTTTCTTGATAACTTGCATTTTTCGTTTTTTATATATTACATCTGGCATTAAAATTAATTCTTTGTTGTTATCATCTAACTTAATAGATTTATTTCCAGATTGATTGAGTTGCCAGCTAGAGCTATTATCTGTGCTATTGTATGAGCTTTCATTATTAGAAACTTTAGCAACTGGTGGTGGTATCCTGTAAAACATGATTAATGAAGAATCATAAATATATAAAAAGATTTTACAAATTATATTTTACAAAATTTCATACCTTGCTGCTTTAGCAAGTCTGTCAAATGTTGTATCAAAAGGATCATAATACAAAGAATTATCGTTTACTTCTTCTTTCTCAGCTTCATTTAACCTTTTTCTTAGCGAAGTACGTTTGTTATTACCAAGCTTATTGTAAGATTCAGTATGTGAATTAGGAAATACTACTGCTACATCATTACGTTTCTTCCTTTCATAAGTTCGAATTGGTTTAGAGAATTGGCGACTCATTTTTACCTTTTTTGATAATATTCAACTGTCTGCTTTCTTCTTTATAAAAATAAAACAGACTTTATATTTATAAATATCATTTATAAAGTTGTGCTAAATTCGTTAACGTACTTTTAGTTTTATCATAATTATAAAACATGTAACACCGAACTGATGATTTCTTTAAATTTTACCACTACAAAATAGCGCGTTTTTCTTCGGTAAAAGATGGCTATTTCAAATTATGGCATTAGTTATATAGTATATAGTAAGCACACAAAAATTATTGATAGTTAATTGAAATACACTTCAAAGAATAGTTCGCTACAAAAGAAACAATAAATAAATGATAATTCAATTCAAAGTTAAAATAAATAATGTGAACTAATAATGCTAAAAATTTGTACTACACAATAAATTTTCGTTATATTTGCATATTTGCGTCATAGACATATGCATTTATAATTTTTGTTTGCTTTTCTACATATTTTGTAAATTATGATAACGCGGATGCGCTTTTATGACAATTGCAATGCAAAAAGTATATACTTAGTAAACAGAAAGTATCATGAAATTTTATCCCTGCAAACTGCAGTACGTTTTTTTCGTTAGGCCAAATTCTTTTTATTCTAAATTTAAATATTGTGCAAATATATTTAAAAAATCGAATATAATAAATATTTTATATTTTGTATTTATCATATTATTATAGGCTCTTACGTTTCGTTTATTTTTTCTCGCCGTATATATGATCACAAAAGCAACTATACTGTAGAGAAACATCACATTTATGAAACAGAGTATACATAAAGTACCAACAAATTTAAATGACAAGAAATTACATTTTTAAATGGACTATAATTTAGATTAGAATGATACTTTATGTAGCATACAAAATTGCATTCTAATCACTTATAATTAGTTGAAGTGTTATACACTTTATCTTGATTATTCTATACATCTTTCAGTGGTAGACATATTCTTATAAAATCTGTAATATGTCGCCAAAATTATACAAAAGAATACTTCCAGTCTCAGTGGAAACCGTCGTAACATGACTAGTCTTAAATGGCATCCAATTTTATAATACTGATACAAGTTACAATGTCCATTTAACTATTAAAACAATTATCAGACATTGAAAAATTATTATTAAAAAATGTTTCTAGTGGGATTGACAGGTGGAATAGCAACTGGAAAAAGTACTGTTGCTGCAATTTTCCGAGAACATGGAATACCTGTCATTGATGCTGATCAAATTGCAAGAAAAGGTTAGAAATGAAGTTGAAATATTTTAATTATATGTGCATCTTGATTTAGTAGCTACGTTTTACTAAACAAATTTTATTTTAACGTGATTTGTAGTTAGTGTTTTTAATATTTATTATTTTGTATCGAAACTTTTCAAACTAAACTCATTATACTTGTCAATAAATAATGTAAAAATTTATATTACAGTTGTGGAACCAGGGAAACCAGCATGGCACAAAATAAAAAAAGAATTTGGCCCAGAAGTATTCTTAGATACAGATGAACTTGACAGAACTAAACTTGGTGACTTAATATTTAACGATGTAAATAAGAGAAAAAAATTAAATGCTATCACTCATCCAGATATATACAGAGAAATATACTGGCAAACACTTAAATATTTTCTACAAGGTCACCAATTTGTAGTTATGGATCTACCATTACTTTTTGAAACAGGACATATGTTAAATTACTTATATAAAATAATTGTTGTAACTTGGTACGTTTATAGTCATTTATATGACATAAAAATATGTAGACATCATTCTATTAAACCATTATTTAATTTTAGTGAAGAAGATTTGCAATTGCAACGACTTATGGAAAGAACAGGTTTCACAGAAGCTAAAGCAAAATTAAGAGTTGCTGCACAAATGTCATTAGAAAAGAAAGCAGAAATGGCAAACTTTGTTATTGAAAATTCTGGTAGTGACCGTGATACCAGAGAACAAACTATTAGAGTCATTAATGTCTTAAAAGCTTCCAAGCGTCATTGGAAATTGCGTTTTATAGTTGGATTTTGTTGCACTGTTTTAATAGCAGGTGTATACTGGATAAAAAACAAAAATTTTCGACCATTGCCAGTTACAGCATAAAAGGTTTTAAATATTTATAATAATTAGTACTAAACTATATTTCAGTTGCAATAATGCATTTATCAAGATTATGGACTAAATTATTAATCAAACAGGAAAGTACTTTAATATATATATAGTCATTACTACATATTTTATATTCTTTTCAGATAATTAATTTTTCTGTGATAATACATATCTTTTGCTCTTTACTGTTTTTTTATAAAGTAAAATATATCAGTATCAGATGTAACATTTTAATTAATTTCTGTTTTACATATTTGAACTTATAGGATAATATTAATAGACACAGCTGTGTTACACAAATTTTGTACAAAGAAAAAGTTTATATCTAGTAAATAAATATATAGATGTTTAAAATATTGAACATGAAAAATACTTATATGCATAAATGAAATGTTTATAATGGTGTAATAATGGTGTTATTCAGAATATGTTTTGAAGTTAAAAATTAATGCCTTAATAAACATAAGTTTGTAAAAAATAATCAGTTTCCAAGTATTGGTTCTTTTAATTTGTACGATTACAAAACTAATTCACGATAAAATGTATTCAGTTTCATGTTTTCATTAACTCTCTTGTTAGTAAAGACAGTAATTATCATCAACTATATATTGCTACCTAAAGGTAACTGTAATCGTTTACCACTAAACGTTTCTTACAACATAAAAGTAGTTACAATTTATCGGTATCCAACGATACGATAAATTTCCTTCACTTTCAATATCGCGTGATTAAATCGCGCATACCGAATAGTATTTTGCCGAAGATTGGTACTTTCTAATTATTAATGAAACACATAAAGTCAAATAATTAAACTTATATCGAAACAGCTTAAATACAAAAGCAGTATGATTGATATCATTTAAACAACACATATATTTACAGATCTAAATATTAATTATATTATTTTTTTAAGAAAAAATGTTAAACTAAGTAAAACTGAGAATATATCTCATATTTTTTAATAATTTTTTAAATGAGATGGAATACTAGGAAAAAGTAAATTTTACTTATAATAAATACCTAAAATATTAATTTAAAAAAGTGAAGTATAAACACTGTTCTTGATGAAGTTAAGATAAGGAGAGCATTTATCCTTTTAATGAAGTGCTTATTAACATAAAGTTATACATAAAAGATTACACATTTGTATGCATATATAAAATACATGAGTACTTATTGCTCAATTTCTTATACTAATTGCACAAAATATATACAGTGAATAAACATTATTGGTAATCATGACTGATAGCATGACTCAAAAGAATATATGTTTATTTTGTTTACAGGATTCACATGATAAGTTTGTGTACCTGATTCTTTATGCACGGGCCAGGTTTAAATTCATAGTTTCTATTTTCCATCACCTGAACCCAAAGCCATTTACTTAAGTAAATTGTAAAAACAAAAAAGACCACAATAAGTACTTAATTTATTAAAGTATTCATTATTTTATAAGAATATTTAACTTATCTATTAAAAATGGAAGTATAAAAATTTTGTTTAAAAAACGAGGAAGCAACAAAATACTATTTACAGCGTCGCGTACAGAACAGTCGCAAGGTTCACCACTATTTTCAAAGCAACGGTAAACCTTAACTTTTACTGTAACTTGAACTTTTATTATAATTCATTTACATAATTCACCCTATTTTGTACTTATTTTAATATATTATCCTAAAAAGAGTCGATTCTTATCTACGTTCATTTACAATGTTTAGTTTGACTCGTATCTGGTTATCCTTCCAACAATACAAAAAGTTAGCTACAAAATTATTTTTATCTCCATCGTATTTAGAATATTTAAAAAAGAATAGTAGAATATTATTTGTCACCATCTTCCATGGTTCTAGACCAATATCCTTATTACTCTAAATTTATACACAATTTGGACAAACATTGTGCTGCATATATTAATATAGTTAACGTTTACCTTTTTGCAAGGTAAATTACTGGAAAAAGAACAGAAGTGCATTCGAATGACTCCAATAAAGGCATATTATTTACGCCATACTGCCAAAAAAACAGTCATGATCATTACGTTTGTCCTGTACGAAGATTACTACAAATTCCTACCTAAAGACCTATAGTATTATGTTATTCATTGAACATTTCCAACATTGTACTTCACTAAAGAATATATTTTGCTTTAATTCATTTATATTTCCTGTATTTTTTGTATTCACCATTCATATTGAAAGAAACAATATAAATATGGTATTAGTTTGAAAGACTGAACGCAGAAGATGGTATTCTTGACTCATCTATGTGCTTGAGCTTTTGTTAGGTGTTCCTTTCTCATTTACTGCAACACGGGCCTAAGTTCTTGAGTCATAATAGGATAAGAAACTAATGGTGCAGTCGCACCAGATATCGAAAGAGGTAAACTGGCAGGTTGTTGTGTATTAGGTGGTTGTTGATTAGTTGCCTGTGGGCCTGAACCGCTCATCGTAATTGTTTGCTGGGCCATTGTAACTATCGGTGGTGGTATAGACACTGGCGCCATTGAAACCGCTGCAATAGAGACAGGTGCGACGGCGGCTATACTTACAGGTACAGTCGCAACACTTGCAGTAACTGTACGTAGAGTACCAGCAGCTACTGCTGCATTAACCATTTGCTGAGGTGTTGGAGCTTGCGATGGTGGAACAGTATTTGTAATGGTAACTGCAGGTACTGTAACAGCTGTCACATTTGCAGTTCGTTTCCCAGACATTCTTAACTGGGCATTTTGATCCAGAAGAAACTCGTTAGTCGCTGTTAGATCACTAACCTGCAAATAATGAATAAAGTCAGTATTATGAAACGTATAAGGAAAATTACAAGAATAGAAATTATAATAACCTGCTTTTTCAATTCCTCTATTTTCTTCCTTAATAACACATTTTCATCTTCCAAAACAATTGCTCTAGCTTCATTGCGCGGTATAACAGGATAATAGTAACCTGGAGTGACTGGTTGTGCAGCATGTTGTCCTACAAGTTGTGAAGCTTCAAAATGAACTACAGTTTCGCCAGAAACTATTCGTCTCTTTGGTTCAGGAGGTCCTATGTAATCAGGTGGATGTGAGGATGCATTGAAACCGTTGTTTGTGACTAAGTTATGTTGGTCTTCCATTTGCCAGTGGAAACTAAAAATATATGTAAGTCAGTTACACCAGAAAATACATTTTAAGCAGCGGTTAAAAAAGGAGGTAACTTTTTAATAAAAATTTCTGACAAATTATTTACTTAGCCATTCGTATAGAACAAAGATTCCCAAAGCATAATTTGCGTTAAGTATTAAAATTTTTAAGTAGTAAAGCAATATGTTTAATTTGGAACTATCGAACTTTGCAATTTGGAACTTAGGACTTTAGAAATTTTGAAAAATAATATATTATAAGTACATAAACGAAAAATGATCGTTTTCGGAAGTGGGTCTCGGTGCACAAAGGTTCGGGAAACCCTGATACCCAATTTAAACAGGAAAAGACTGATGAATATAATTTCCGGCATACTTACTTTCTGTCCTCTTCGTATCTGCGATTCTCACCATTACTAGTACCATTAAAATTGTGCTGCGGCCTCGACGCAGTAAGATGAGCAGCTGCAATTAAATTATGCTGCTGTTCGTCGTTTTTCCAATGTCTAAACTTGCAATTCGTTCTCTGACAACTGCCTTTGATGAAATCTTTACACATAGGAAATTCTGACTTCTCGTTATTATTTTTTAGCCTGCTCAATATATGAGCAGGCAGTTCTCCCGTTGCCCTGAATCTTTTCTCCTCGCTCTCTGTGCAATGAAGGAATTTGCATCCTGGCCAATTGCACATTCCATTTTGAAAATCATGACAGAACGTGTACTCCTCTACGGGATCGTCCTCGGACCGTTCGTGCAAATACTTGCAACGTTTCCCCCTATGGCATACGTTCCGTAGGAAATCCCTGCACACCCGGGTTGGTGATGCATCTCCGTTTGCGTTGGGTGCACCTGCTGGGGTGTTCGCTTGCCCGCCTGTCGCGCTATCCGATTTTTTTTTCAGCTTCTTCATCGATGATACATTGCGCTCATACCTCGTAAGTAATTCTTAATCGATCCTTATTATTCGCACGGTACACGTGCGTGCTGCAATTATGAAACAGCTCATTGTAGCAGAAACATTGGCAGATTGAATATAACTTTTGTGTTACGGTTAAATTTGAACAAAGGGAACTTTGTATTAGCAGGAAATCTATTTATTAGCATTTTGACGATGATCACGGGTTGCATATCGATGAATAAGTCTTTAATTGACATTGAACTGAAATAATGCTTGTTATGAACATTGATGGTATGATTACTTATAATTTTTAATAGGAGTCTCGATATGTTACATAACTATGGACAGGGTTGTAGGTATGAAAAAAATCGTAAAAAGTAGTTTTTATTTAACGTGCTCATTGTTATTCATAACACATGGACGATACAACGCGGTCTCCGTGAATAATGAAGAACCGCTTTTAATATACATGAAAGTCCATGAACGAATAACAATAGACTGCTGTAATCAACAATGATCTATTGGCGATATATTACTCGTTTGAAAATTTTACACCAATGATTTTCAGGATTAATGCATGTATTTCGACAGATTTAAAATAATAAATAAACATAATATGACAAAACAATGTTTCAATGTTATCCGGCATTTTAGAATTGTATAAACCACCTTCATCTTTTTTGTTAATTAATTTATTTACATATGCACTGTCATAATACTGTATACATATAATTATTCCAGTATAAACCGCTTCGTTTGGATGTTTAATTACATATTGTACGTGGATTGCACGATTAAGATACTTGTTACAATTACAATAACTGTTTTATAACGGACATACTTGTTTTTGGTCAACATAATGTTTCATGCAACGGGAACACAACGCAAATGTGATAATTTAATAGAAACATCTTTATTAAAAAATACGCTGTAAAATTATAAGAATAAGAAATGTGAATTGCACGCAAATATTAATTTCACAACAAATTAGAACTGTCCTCGCGAATAACAGGTTACTGGTGAAGGATAGTAAAGAACTTCAGTTAAGTTAATTTTTATTTTTTTTTTCTGTTTTATATATATAATATAAATGACTATTACATGAATAGTAAGATTATATCAACAATGTTATGTACAATTTCATCGTATTATTTATATAAACCTTCACGATCTTAATACAATATCAATAAAGAGAGAAAAAGTAACACTTACAAAGCGACAGCGAGAACCGAAACGTTTCTTTTTCTAAGAGGTGTAAATTGAATGTACATATTTTCGATCCTAATCGGTTAACAAGGACAGAAATAGTTCGGGTAATGGCACTGTAACTAAGCTATTAGTGAATTAAGAAAATACAGTTATAATTTTAGTTGTATTCGTATAAAAAAACAATCGATAGAAAAGGTATAACTAGGAAGTATCCTCTTTTTTATTTTAGAAAACAGACATATAGGCCATGACACACGTGAATCTGTTAATAATACAACGATTTAATGAGAATCCATAGTGAATAATCTCACACTGAAGAATTCGCATTGTTTTCGAGTTTATTAGGTCGCTCGAATGGGATATGCCTCTATTGTCACTGCTATCGGTAATAAAAGAAAAATAGACGTACACGTACAATGAAGTGAGAAAATATAAAAGCTTTCTACCAAATAATGATAACGGTTGCATATCAACAAATTGTTCTTCTCATTTACATAAAAACAATTAACAGTTGCACCAATAATCCTGGGACAAAATTTCCTGAAGTTTATTTCCAACAATTAAGAAATCGATTATTTAATATTCATACCCGGTGTATGCTTTTCACCATTAATATTCAAAGATGTGTATGCAATATTTTTATGGACAAAATCTTTCCATTTTGGTTTAATATTTAAAATATCATAATTTCAATGTAGGAATTTAATTTTTCACTTTCAAATTTGAGAATTTAGAAATTTCAAATTCGCAAATTTTTGCACCCCGTTAATGGTAGAGCTTTTGAAATCAGGTGTTAAAAGGAAAACATTTTATTTAGCCCTTTTCACGATACTTTCTCGCTACAACATTCTCTTCCAGGAGAATGTAATAGCGAGGTTCTACAATATTGAACGAATGACAGCGAAAATGTTAGCTCTCTAGTTGTACCTATTTTTATTAATAGACAGTACGCGGCATCGTGACAGTAAATTACCTTTGCATTTATTTTTATTTATAATAAAAAGTATTATCTTGAAAGGATCATAACCTTTGAGTATTGATGGGTTAAATTAAATTGAATTTAGAACGCGCTGCCATTCATAGAATTCAAGTCTGGTCAACGCCCACATTAAATTCTTCATGCTTCCTGACTCGTAATTCAAGTGCTCATTCAGCGATTATCTCAAAGTTAACGCTAATAATCTCCACTTTGAATTTCATCAAGATCATAGAAGCGTATTTCAATTTGTAATATAGTTAAGTGAAATCTAAACTTTCACTCTTATCAGACTGCGGAAGTTCTGCATTTATAACATATCAAACTACCATATGATACGTGTAAAGAAACGAAATGAATTATTTCGAATTTGTAAAATATGTAATATGGATGAAACAAGGTAATATTTTCACGTTTCTAGCAGAAATAATGTGTAAAAACATATAGTTGGATAAACATCTAGAATTTACTCATCAATACCTATCTGAGAAAGAATTTTTTTAATAATAAGATATTGATGAAAACAACAGAAAAGTTTTTTGAATAAAAAGATTTTCTTCAAAGTGTAAAAATCTGAGTAAACTTGTAACTTAAAGAAAGGATTATGTTGAAGCTTAAAAAAAAGCATCAGGGACTTTTGTTTACTGATTTGGATGAAACTTTATAGAATGATCCAAGAAAAGAATAACGGTACTCTTATTTATGCCTAATCACCCATTATAGGTGTAAAAACTAACCTCAAAGTCAAATAGGCATTCACTTATAACTCTTGAAATATAAGAGATAAATAAAAAGATTTTAAATAAAAGTTTAATACTACGTTAAATGCTACATTACTTTTTCTTCTATTTCTTATACTTTAAAAGCTACATACAAAAAAATGTGAATGCTCTTCTTATTTTAAGGTTAGCTTTTCACTTATAAAAGATTACTGTATATTTTCTTGTACATTTGATAAAAAGAAAAAAAATTTCTATCGAAATGTTTGTCCTGAAACATAAGATCAAGATCATCCAATATTTATGCAAATCGTATTGTTTGATTTCTAAACTGTAAATCAGATCTAAACTTCGTTAATTACAGTGTCTTAGCATGTTAGAATCTATAAGGTCTCCCTTGACATGCTCTGAAAGCGAATCAAGGAAGATCAACTTAAGAATCACTACAGACATAATTATATAAGATATAAATGAAATTATGTTTTGTCCAAGGATTTTTGGTACATTTTTATCTATAAAAAAAAATCTGCAATTTAAAATTGATCAATATTAACATTAAATAAACCGTTTTTCAAATCAACGAAGTTACAACTAAATCATTGACAAATATAATTACCGGATCGGAAAGTATGGTAGTTCCGATTTCTTTAATCTTAGCATATATTTTTTTTATCTTTTCTGATTTTGTAGGAATCTGTAGCGTTAAAAAAGAAACTAAAAAAATAATAATTAATTAAAAAAACAAAGAAAAAAAAGTCGAGTCGATTAACGATTTACGCTCTGAGCACAAATAACTTCCAATTTGTAAAATAAATATCGAGTAATTTTCAATTAGCATAAATTTAAATCTACTAATTCTAAGAGAAATATTAGAAGAAATTCATCAAGACATTAGATATATCAACGAGCTCTTATAAAAATTGATTTTTGCATATAAACGTTATTTATAATCTATGTAATAATATATTTAAGTTTTTGGGCGTGCAGTGCTTGATATTTGTAAATACAGATTAATACCATATTTAAAGAAGATATGATATTGAGATTGGCAGCATGTTGAACATTTTACCTGGTATTGTCTATACTTTTTCTAATACATTTCTCCTAGCCTAAAATTTTGTTCTATTTACATATTTATTGCTACAAATCTGTGTTGTTCATTTGATTTTGGTTCCTTGTTTGAAATGGTAACATGATGTATCTTTACTTTATCTCTGTAATTTATTAGAAGAATTTTCTGAGATTGATGTTTCAACAACTGTATCGAAAAAATATATGCAATTCTCAATATTTTGTTCATATAAAAATTTTTGTTGAAACTACACACCACTCAATTTCTTTTGTTCTGTTTACTCAAAAGCTTTTAATAAACTAGCGATAAAGAAAGAAATACAATATTAATTAATCATAAAAGATATATACAAAAACAAGAAAAGAAACATTAAAATATTTTTTCTAAGAGCATCCATATTAACATAATGGCAATGGGTGCTACATAATGTATTGGTACTGTATAAGTTGTATTTAACAAGTCACCACATTGTGCTTTAAGGGTTGTATATTTTTTAGAGAGCTCTGTTTGTTCTTCAACAAGTGTACTATACTTCTCTTTTAAAATAACCAATTCTTCATGGAGTTCTTGAATTCTTTGAGCTTCATTTTTAGCACGATAATAAAGTTCTTTTAATTTTTCAACAACTTCTTCATGAGATTCACAGATTAACCAATCCTTGAGGTTTTCCAACTCCTTCTTGATAGTTTGTTGTGATTCCAAATCATCTTCAACTTTTAAGGAATCCAAAGATCCTATTAAAGTTTGTAATACATATTCTCTTGTATGTATACTTTGTTGTGTAGTATCATTTTTAGACAATGGTTTCAATGTTTTAATATAATCTCCTTCTAAATGTTCCCCTTCACACTCTTCATCCAATTCATTATTATCTTTATCTGTTTCATTTTTCACCCCATGTTGGTTGACTTTTATAGAAGTAGATTCACTCGAAGTCATAATATTGTTTATACTTTCAATGTTAGTTTCCATTTCTTTAGTTTCATTTGGTTTCTGTACAGTTTGAGGATACTGAGAAGTTTCTGATTGATTATCACTTTCTTCACATGCAAATTTAACTTCTGCTCTATGAGGTACAAAAATTTCTTCAACTACATCATATACAGTTTCTTCTTTTTTAACTTCTATAACTGATTTTTCACTTGTATCATCACTGGTAATACTGCATGTATCATCTGTAACATTTGAATTAGTATCAGACTCTAAATTGGTATCTGAATTATCTATATTTACATTTTCATTAACCAAAGTTCTTCGAGAGGATGGTGGTAAAATATATTCTGTTAAATTATCATTGTTAGACAATGAACCATCTAATTGTTCTTTTGAAAAGGAAAAATCAGAATTCTTCAACTGATTTGAATCAATATCATGTGAGTTAATTTGATTATCTTGTTCATCTTTTGAAGGATAAAGAATAGTTTCTGTATCGATTTCAGTATTATCAACATGAATGGAATTCAATTCATTAAGAATAATATTAATAACTTCAACAGGATTTTCTTCATCCTTTGAATCCATGATGTTGCTCATTAATAATTTTAATTTCATATCTTGTAAAATTTGCATGTAATTTTTAACGGCAGTGATTTGCTTATGAATATTAACAGAGTCTAATCGAGAATCACGTAGCCTTGCTTGTAAATTTTTCTCCACTCGAGACTGATGTTCAAGTTTTTTCAACAGTTCTTGTTTTTCTTGTTCCATATTTTGTACCATCTCTTTAATTTTATCCTCACTCTCTTTCAGTCTGTTTGCAGTTTCCTGAAGTTTTTTCTGTGTTTCCGTATATTTACTACATAGTTCTTGAAGTTCAGTTTGAGTATATTTTGCTACATTATGAAGACTTTGACACTCTTCTTCTGTTTCACTTAAACGTCCTTCTAATTGAACTAACCTTTGAGTTACTTCTAATTTTTCTTGTAATACTTTCTGTAATGCTTCCTTTGCTGCATTTTGGTATTGTGCTTTTTCTTCTTGCAGTTTCACTAGTTCATTTCTAATTTTATCTTCTGTATAATTTTCAGAATAAACAGCTAACTGACTTTCAATAGTCTCTATCCAGGATAATAACCGATCTTCTGTTATCAATGCATGCCAAGACTGATTAGCAGCTTTTCTAGTATTTGCTACAAGCTGTTGGAGGTACCCTAACTTAGAATAAAGTGCCTTTTCACGCCTAAAGGCTTCTTGTATAACTTGATTTAATTTATATAAATCCTCGAGAGAAACATTATTAATTGGAGATGTGACCGATGTACTAAGATTACCTTTAGCTTCCTTTCCATCAGGCAAATACAATTTTAATGTTGCAACTATACATCCATGTGTAACTTTTTTTGTATTCTCTACCACATCTACTCCAAATTGTACTATATCACCCGAACATACTTCTTTAGGCGCTGATTCTGAACCAGCTGGACTAAGTCTATGATTATTAACAAATGTTCCATTACTACTACGTGTATCTTGCAGAAAAAACTTTCCGCCAGAATACCATAACAACGCATGATTCCTAGATAATACTTTACAGTCAAAAATTGCATTATTCGAAGTGGCTCTAGCTCGTGCTACTGAACGACCAATCTTAACAGCTTGTTCCAACGATAATGTACGTTCTTGAAAAGGATGAGAATTGTCACGGCAGATTAAGATACCTTTTGCTGTCATTTTGTTATTTTGCGCAGTATTTATATTCAGGTTGGAATTATTCTGATTGGCAGGAAAACTGGCATTTTGTACCCACCCACCACTGGCTACAACCATAGCCGATGTAAAATCCAAACAATAACAAATGTTTTGAAGCACAGTTTAAAATACGTATTAAAAAATTAATTATTAACACCACATCAAAGAAACGAGAGTTCGAAAAATAAGGTTCACGCGTTTTAATGTCATTGAACAAGTCTAGTATATCAGTTTATTACAGAAGTTAGAGTATTCACACCCAATCCTAAAATCTGAGCACAGGGGCGGTGCTTCGATGTTCTGGAACGTAATATGTGTCGTTAATTTCCGTCGGAATTTCAATTTCAATTTCAAAGGAATTTCCGTTGCTATTCCATCGGTCTTGCAGTATTCCTTTTTTCAATATATTTTTCATGAAACTCCTTGTACTAATGTTGCACAGTTACATCGTGTCGGTCATGATTAATTAAATCCAGAACATTCTTTAAAACCTTGTTTAATCACGACAAAATCTTCTTCAATAAACAATTATGCTGAATATTTCGGACGCACTGAAAGTAGCCAAAAGATATGTTTCTTTGCGCAAGTAGCGGTGAACGTACGCTTTCACACTTTCGTCCTTCGCACCAATTTCCTTGCACTTTGATGTCTTCGATGTTGCATTCAAGGAAGTTTATTGGAAAAGCGAGTAACACGCGATACGTGATTAACAATACTCGAACGCGATGAATCGAATAATAATGCAATCAACTCGATAAAGAGCAAAAATATTGTTCTCGAAGTATAGCATTACTGTATCGAGATACAAGTAGTCCACGTTCCTTTAACTCGATGCTTTTCAGTTCCGCGTTTCGCTGTTTATCGACCGGCGGCAGTAGAGTCATATACGAATACAACGGTGTAGCAATTTCAAACTGGGTACTACATCGTAAAAAATATTTGATAAACAAAAATGATTTGTTGTAATTTTTGAATAATTATATTTGTTACAACAAAAACTCATAATAACCACTTATGAAATTGATTTACGCATTTTCAAATAGAAATTGAATGTAATTCCACTAAATATAACAAAAATGTTGCAATAAGATCTCAATACTTTAAATAAAAATAACTGTAACCATAAAATTTACAATTGCAATATTTTTATACTTTGATTTTTAATTACTTTTAATGTTATACTTCTATCTTCAAAATTGAAGATGTGCTATATAAAATACATTTCCTTTTAGATATTAATGGATATTGCTTTACGCGTCATTTAACGCAGATAACTTGCAAAAGAGGATAAAAATATCGACGTAAAAAAAGAAACGGTCTTTTAAAAGTTACCCTATACTAAAGACATAAAACAAAAAACATTGTCGTGTATTTGTTTGTTAAATTGTTAATATTCCTAATACTAAGCTAAACATCACGTGAGAAAGGTACAAGTTTATAAATAAAGAGTTAGTAATTATTTACTTTTAGAATGCAAGTGTTTCATAAATGGAACAAAAATAAACGTACAAACTATTATAACTATTGAATAACGAGCTATTAACGGATTAGCTACCAGGACGGTTGCCGGCCACTCATATTACAAATTTAATTTGATAAAACAATCACAATAATAATTTGAAACTGTGAATTAAAGTATTACATTACAAAATTGTAATAATATATCTCAATTGTAATAATGTATCTTATTGGATATGTAAAACTATTTTTATATCGGCCTGTTTCAAAAAATTACCATTTTCGAAATTAGAACTTTGGAATTTTAAAATTGGAATTAAAAAATTTTTGGATTCCGAAGTTTTAAAATTTTTAAATTTAGAAACTTTGAAATTTAATAATACATTTAATAATACATTAAAAGCGAATGAATTGTTCCATTAAGTTTGAAAGGTCATGCTTTTACTTATATTAATTTTCGGAAGTATGAATCTGGTAAAATTCGCGTGAGTAATTTTAATCAATGCATTTTTGTGCATATTTTATGAGGCTGGGTCAAAGTGACCCGACATCCGCTATTACTACTTTTGAATGTATACTTGCGTTTGACATAGGCTTCTTTCGATTAAGGGGAAATGCGGAGGTAGGAGTCTCCCACCATTTACCTGATTCGTTCCCGTTCCATACGTATGTGTAGGGAAGGGGTAAACTTCTGGTGCCACGCGCCGTACTCCCGAGATCAAAAGCAAATGGTGGGAAGCTCCTTCTTCACGCTTCCCCTTTGGGAAGCCAACGTTTCATACGATCGTACTGATTCTCACTCTTATGTGAAAACATACGAAGGTCAATGTTTGTCAAATGATTTCTCTGAACGGTAACATTATGCACATAACCTAAAAGGATGTAGTGTAGTGAATATCATATTCTGAAACATCATTTTTCCTAACAATTCGTTGAATAGGGAAATATAAACTTATGAGAAATTGATCTTTTATTACATAGTTGATTTAATAAAAATTCAAAGAATTTATATAAGTTTATTTTAATGTGTATGTTTACGTTTAAGCGTCTATATCATACACAAACACTACACTACTAATAATTGGATATAAATAAGAATAAAATAAAGAAAAATTAACAATGTCAGATGAAGAAGATTATATGTCAGATAAATTTTTACAAGGATCTGAAAAAGATACTTCCTCAACTCTTCTCTATCGACATGCAGATAAAAGGAAATTTGAACTTATGAAAAAGAAAACTGAAATTGAAGCAAAGTTAAAAGACAAAAATTCTGCAAAATATATTGAAGAAGAAAAGCGGGAAGCTGGCTTATCTTCTGCAATTACTAGTACCAACAAAGGTATATTTTTGTTATTAATTTTGGTACATGTAAATAATTTTATATATGGTTTGTTACATTTATATTACATTGTTTTTAGGTTTTGAAATGCTTATCAAAATGGGATATAAGCCAGGTCATGGTATAGGTAAAACTGAATCAGGAATGACTGAACCAATTGGTCTTGATATAAAATCAAACAGACATGGTTTAGGAAAAGAAGTGAAGAAAAAAGAAATCAAAATTAAAACTAATACAATTAGTGATAAATTAGATAACAAAAATATGAAAGACTTTCGTAGTAGAATTGCACAAAAGAAAGCAGAACAGTTATTAAAAGCAGATCTATTCAAAAGTCAAAAATCCTGTGAACAGTTGGATATGAAGTTAAACATAGAAAAACCTAGAGAAGTTTGGTTTTGGTTGCCTCAAGATAATGAAAGTGATAGTGAATCTGAGGAAGATGATGATGAAGATATACTTCCTGTTAATGAAAAACTTGAAATTCTTACAAAGTATTTAAGGGAAAAACATTTTTATTGCATTTGGTGTGGAACAGCATTTCAAGATACAGATGATTTAAGAGATAACTGTCCAGGAAATACAAGAGACGATCACTGAATATGATAGGATTAATTATTATTAATTTAATTGCAAAACTGAATAATAACAATGAATAAATTCAAAAATACATTCATGTTTTTTTTTACATCATGAAAATTACATTGTAAAATAAATGTCACTGGAAGAATAAAAAATTCGAGACCTAAACATCAGTTATGCTTCTATGATACGAACACCCACAGTGTATTGAAACATAAAAAACCCATTAGACTCATGATGCAAAATATTGAAAAAGCAATGTCCCTATACTAGAAAAAAATCGAATGGTATATAATGTAAAAGCTGGGAAAACATATCCTGATTCAGCTAAGCTATTATATCCTAGCAGGAGTTCAGCACCCCCAAGTTATAACATGTTGGAGGGGAAGTTACCTATAAAAGGATTTGTTTCATGTTCTGTTCTTTCATTTCAGTTAAGATCCTTGACCATACCTTTACTATATTACAAAAAATCAAAATTAAATAAACGATATTTGGCTATAATGTTTGCAACATTTTTGTTAATAAATGCACTCATGTTTACTAGCTGCATCATTGCTCAAGTTACAGATGATGAAAACTGTGAAACATTGCAATCAGAAGTACACATTACAAAAGGTAGTAATGTTGTACTGTAACTCTATTAATTTATACACAGAAAAACAGATTAAAAGTATTTTACTTATTTCAGATGAATATGATGAAATAGGACGTTTAAAAAGAACATGTAGTGGAGATGTATCTGTTACTAAATGTGAAGGATTTTGTAGTTCACAAGTACAACCAAGTGTTGCAAGTACTACAGGATTTTCAAAGGTAAACATAAATAATAATAGAGAATAAAATTTTATGACAATAGTAAAACAAAATTTTTTTACAGGAATGCTATTGCTGCCGTGAAAGTTACTTAAAAGAAAGACACATTACTTTACATCATTGTTATGATGCAGATGGTATAAAATTAATGAACGAAGAAGATGGAATAATGGAAATAAAAATACGAGAACCGGCAGAATGTAGATGTATTAAATGTGGTGATACATCACGATAAACATAAAATTAAATTAAAGAAATGATATTATGAATTATCTTATGGAATTATGTATCAAAATTATTACTAAAAATAAAATTAAAAATGCAGAATATATTATTTGAAGTAAATTTTTTCCCCTATCCCATCATATTATTATAGACTTAGAAATGATGAATTACTAGATGTTGTATTTAAATAACTTTAAATATATTATGAGTATTTTAAACATTTACAATAGTTATAATTAAAATGAATCTGTTAGTTATTACTTCATACAAATTTTTTTTTTATAATGTAGTAAAAATTGAAAAAATTTTTAATAAATTTGGTTAATACTACTAAATTTTTAAAAATATTAAATACAAAGTGTATGTCAGAAATTTGAATAGAGTATGATATAAATATCAGTAAATTTGTAAATGCAACATCTGTTTTGAGGTATTAAATATATGTATAACATAATTAATGACAGATAATGCTTAATATAATATTTAATACTGTGATATTTGAATTAAATAGTCTTAGTAAATAAACATATGTATAAAAAGAATAATCTCACACATGTATGCAAGATTATCTTCTTTCATTAATGAAACTAGCAAAAGACAAAAAATTAAAATTAAAAGATAGAACTATAACTATTATTTAAAATTTTTATAATAGTATTTGTAATAATAAAATATTATACACCATGTTTTACTAGTAATAGTCAAATCAAAGCAGTCAAAGCTAATATGCTATTTAGATTTTTTATTTTTTGTTTCTATTTATAAATAATACATAAGAGATTATTTCTGGATTATTATATTCATAAATAAGAATAACATAATGAGTGGGATATTAATTGTAATAATATTTGGTTTAGATTATATACTACTGTTTTAAATATTTAGCAAATTAATATAAATAAATAGAATTTCAATAATTAATTATTTATCTATATTTTTTAAGCTTCTATAACTTTCTTTCAAAATTTTAATTATTTCCAACATTTAAATCATCACTACTGTATTATTAAATACTATCTTTCAATTTATATATAAGTACAAATATTATAATAAACATATACACATATAAGTAAAAATATATATGTGTATCATATGTTAAAATTGAAAAAATTATTAAATCTAGGATTTCATGATTCCTGTATTTCAGTGTTAGAGTCTCACTTAAATTATTTTAACAAAAATTTATAATTATAAAGGAAAATGTTTGTCACTTGTAATATAAATCATTTTTAAAAGCATTTTTGTTCTTTAACAGTGTGTTTATATATCTAGTTTATATTCCCTAATACTACTAGCACAAACATCAGAAGGGAAGGGAGAGAACATGGACACCTACAGAGTATAAAAGGGTACAACACGAAATCTTTAAGCACAGTAAAGTACTAGATCTAGCAGAAAATGTTTCGTGTAGAAAGTCTGTTCCTGTTCCATGTTGGTAAGTGCAATATTTGAATTTAAATCAAATTTATTTGAACATATGCCACATTGCACATGTCATTCAGAACTTATGCAATTCAAAACATTGTATTTTATAGAAAAAGTGAACAACTGTTTTTGAACATAATTAGATAACGTAAATGTACTTTACTAGTTAAATTATGGAAACAAATAAATAAGGTTTTTTAATAACTGACCAAAATACAGTTCTGTTTCTTAGAATAAAAATTTCAAAACTGTGTTTGTTGTATTAAATCATTTTTGAAATACAAGTGCAATGTACACATTATACATAATATAACACATAATTTTGTTACTCACGTTACAGTTGGCGTTGGTTTATTAATATGTCTGATGACTGGAACCACAAGAGCAATTATCGGTGTTGATGAATGCCAAGCAACTCCAGTCATTCACTTTTTACAATATCCAGGATGTATTCCTAAACCAATTCCTAGTTATGCATGTAGAGGTCGTTGTAGCAGCTACCTACAGGTAAAATAATAATATATAAATATAATTAAAATTTGATTATATATCTTGAAGATATTGTTTAAGGTAAGTTTTATCAAATATCATAGGAATTGAAAAGTACATAATATATTTCAAGAAATATTTGTAATAATAAATAAAAACATCTATTTTACATCTATGTGTTTGCTATTTTATTTGAAAATAAAATTTGCTTATAGATAATTAATTTATGAAATTCTTACCATGTAATAGTACAATTTTCAGTAACAGAACATAAACATCATTATAATCTTGACATACAAAAATAATATGCATATAAATCATTAATAATATTCTTTACTGCTTGTTATTTTTAATACTTACAAATATAAACTTAGATATCAATTTACAATCACGGATATTAAATATTATTGTATTTTTTTTTTTTACATAATGATGTTTTGGAAATATATTTCGTAGAAAATTAAAAATTAAAAGATATAAACATTTATTTGTTCGTACCTGTTTCTACAGGTGTCTGGATCAAAAATTTGGCAAATGGAGAGGAGCTGCATGTGTTGTCAAGAAAGCGGTGAGAGGGAGGCCAGTGTATCCTTATTTTGTCCAAGAGCCAAACCAGGCGAAAAAAAATTCCGAAAGGTTAGATTATTATTTTAAATTAACTATATAATCTTGAAGATTTCAAATGAATATAAAAATTTAACGGAGCGTCGGTTAGTTGATCACTTGTACGTTAAAATCAGGAGCAAAGCTTCTGATACCACGAGTTTTCCACAGCCATATTGTTTTTGTCTAGCTGACCAATAGAAAGCGAGCAATAAAATGAATATCGCGCGCGATTCAATTGAGTTACTTTATGAACTTTACTTACGAAATACAAAAGTATATACATATATTTTCAATATTTAATTATTTTATTTTTCATAACTCAAAAGCTCAAACAAAATATTTTTTAATATAATTTAAAAATTATATATAATTTACTGAATTAATTCATAATTACTTGTGTACAGGTAATTACCAAAGCGCCCTTAGAATGTATGTGTAGACCATGCACCAGCGTGGAAGAATATGCAATTATTCCTCAAGAAATCGCTGGATTTGCTGACGAAGGTCCTTTTACAACTTCTGCACATTTTAGAAGATCCTCTGATTTACAATAATTATATCGTCTTCATGTTACATATATTAGATCTAAAAAATGATAAACAAGTTACTGAATTTGTGAATATTATAAGAATATAAAATATATTCAACAAAAAATAATATATCGTTAAAAATTACATATTGTTTTTCGCAAATAATCCTCCTTGATAATTTTTAATCAGAAAAAATGCAACGTAATTTAAGAAGAAATGAAAGATAATTTGAGAAAAAATCATGAAAGTTAATTAATTTGGTGGATGCATATCATAGAAGCCTTATTTGTTTGTTATAAATAATTTCAGTTATATTACATACATATAAAATAACTACATTGTAATAAATATACAATATAGGATATTACGCGTTTAGTGTTTTAAAAATGCGTATTTATGCAATACGTTACAGTATGATTATAATTATTGCATCTTAATATTATATCGTAGATCATTCCTGTCAAGTATACATTATCTACAGTTTTTTTTTTTAATTTAGCATCAGATATTAACGTTCAAATATGAGTAAGTTTCATTCGAAATTGTGTATATATCATTCATTTATTACTATATGTATTTTATTTATGATTATGAAGACAATACGAATAATATTACACAAAAATATACAAATTACTGATTCAGTTAGTTTTTCTTCGGTTATCGTAACCGATTCATTTAGACAGGCATATATTCAAGAAAATAATCAACAACAGTTTGACATGGAGTTCTTTTTTATTTTTTTTATTTTTTTATTTTTTTTTCGTATAGATATGATTTATCATAGAAGTGTATGTGTGTATCTGTGTATGGTGTACTGGAGCTTTCAGTGATATTTTATTTATATATGTATATGTATATTAATGTATACGTAAGTACACGCAGATATATGTATAAATTAGCGATATACATGCGTGTTCGTACGTCAACTATATGAGCACAATGCGTCGCATGCATGTGCAACATCTCAAGACAGCATAACAAAGCTATCTTCCTCTTCTACCTTTGCAACCCGTCCAAGTTTCACTTACAATATTTATTTATTAAATATTTACAGTGATGATCTTTTTACTAATTTAGTTATCGACATGTTTCCAACAACGTTTCTTTCAATTTTAATAATATATAAATTATTGTAATTTATTTACTGCGCTTTGAATACATTATATGTTTCATCTCGTCAAATGATACATTCTACCGTTGGTAGAGATGTGCAGGTAATCGAATATGTTGAGTCGGGTCGGAAAAAGCCGGGTGAGCTCGAGATCGGGTTCGGGCCCAGATCGAAGCTCAAGCCCGAAATCTACGGACCCATGGTTAACCCGATTACGTTCGGGTGGAGTAAACAGATTATCATTATTTAGATACTAAGTTGTGTATCATAAAAATTCGCACGAATCCGTCCGACTTTCTCCGACTTTACCCGAATGTAATCGAACTATCCGAAATGGTTGGGTCTGTATGTCTTGTGTATCTATTCGAACGTAACTGACTTTAACCGACCCGACTCAAACCCGAAATGTCGGGTATCCACACATCTCTATATTAAAGAGTAGAATGGAATCTTTCAAAGAGACAATTCTTATAGGTCATTGTTCTCAATTCATTCGCTTATCTTTCGTGTCCTTTATGTATATTTTATTTTTACAGTGTGAAAAAAGCAATAGCAATGGTCATATATATTTTATTCTTCTTTGCTCTTCCTCCTTACTCCTTTTTAGTTTCGTCTGTTAAAAAAAAGTATATGCAGTTTACCTTACTGTTTCATAATTCATTATATAAATAAAAAATAAAATTTGGATGACTTTTAAACTAATTTTAGATTGCCAAACATAAACATGCATTTGGAATGCAAGCAAGTTGTATATTAGTTCATGATACAATAAAAAAAGTTAGAAACATAATAAAGTTAAGAAACCGCGAAGGTAAAGGGGTATGTCGTGTAAAAATTTCAAAACAAAGATTTTTCTATCATAAGCAAGGAGGTATACTTTTGTAATATTATGTGCGTGCGTGCGCGCGCGCGCGTGTGTACATACGTATAAATGCATATGTACACGTACATATATGTATGTTTAACAGAGTCAAATTTAATGCATGGTAACCTTACATCCCTTCAACGACGCATATTTCATAAAAAAAAAAGAGAAAAGAAAACTGAAAGATATGGCTCGTAACATCTAATATTTACCGAATATAAATCTATATCTCAGTATTAATAATTACAGTTTTTCCTTTTTTTAAATAAAGAGAGTATATATTTAACATGAGAAACATTAGCCAAAAAAGTAATGTAGAATTGTCTCCTAGACTTAAATAAAAATAATCTTTCTTAACTGCACTCAAATTTCCTATGTTCTTTTTTATATATATATTATATATAATAGTATATCCAAAAGAAATGTATTTTTCACACTGTACTTTAAATTAGTATAACAATTTTATACAATTTGCTACGGCACCTGCCACCTGAATACATGCAGACATTCCATTCCCACGCACTATAATCTGTTCTCTCAATGTTTATAAATAACTAGTGTTAAAAAATAGTAGCGCCTTAATATGCACACCATTTGTATCCTTCCATTTTCCTAATTTCAACATATCCTACACTACGAACCTTGGTTTCGTAATGTTGTTTCACTTTCCACTCTCATTCTTTCTTAATTACGAACATTATTTTTTCTTACAGTAGAATACATCGTAAGTTCGCAAAGATATAAATTAGTAATTCTGTTATATTTTGTTATAATAATAGGAAGAACCGTCGCCCTTCAATCAGACTTGGTTATTAATAGTTTCTTTCTGTATATTTTTTCTTTTTCAAATTTATTTTACTTAAAATTGACCTACTTATACACACCTGCGGTCTGTAATTTGTTATCTAAGTCATACGGCAAACACCGGCTGTTTTACGATATCGCTTGGTGAAATGCAAAATAGCGTTTTGTAATTTGCCAATATTAAGCACAAAAGAGAACTCATAAATTTCAATTTTATTTGGTGATTGACAAGTTGCAGTGACATTTCACAAGACATAAGAAATACGATAATGTTCTCGAGTTGTTTTTTTTTTTGCTTTATTTAAACTTTAAACCATTTCAATGAATTATATATAATAATTATCTCGCATTTACTTTTTGTATCATAATTAATAATTAATCTTTATCTTCATTATGTATAGCGGTCTCAGCCATTGTGTCCGTTTTTATATGACAACCTTCTTTATTATCTTCCACTTCTTGTTCTTCGAAGTTCTAGACTATATTATACATACACCCGCGCACTACTATCACTCCATTGTTTTTCTTTTTTCAACATAAACGACATTTTGCTTTAAAAAACTGCAATTTGATCTCACTTCGCGTATCTTCTTTTTTTGTTTAACGAGGGAACGTATATTTAAGTCTTTTCAATAGACGATAGTGTATTCAATCACAGTATCGTCAACAACGGTCTTGGTTCACGCTAGTTGATACGTCTTCTACACTGGAAGCATCGTCGGCTTCTTGTAAACCAGTGAAAAACGATGTTAGCGCCATCGTCGCGACACCATGCCACTCACGCTGGGCTGGTTCAGGGCTCTTTTTCCACGTCAAGAACGCATCGCTTGAAATTATATTATAATCCGACAAGCTTGTCATGATATTAAAGAGAATCCCTACAAAAGAAAATGTTGTAATTATGAACATGTTTTTCTCGAACCCTTTGCACTTCATTGGTTTGTCCAACATTTAAAATTTAAATTTTATTTGTATTAGACTGAATGATATGTTGGAGATGCATTAAGATTTCAACTTTTCAAATTTAGAAATATAAAATTATAATTATTCGAAGTGTCAAAGGTTATCAAATCATTTTTTTAACAAGTCATTTATACTCCTGTATCTTACCATGTGGATATTGTAAATTATGCAAATGAAGTTGAATTGCATAAAGGCATTGCAACTCTAGAGATTCATTTGCATCAACGAACCGGCGAATCAATTGTTGCAAATTAATGAAAACATCAGTTTTCAAATTCCACCTGTTGTTAACTGGCTCTAAAAAAATGATATAAATTTACAATTTAAGGTATTCATTTAAAAATATTATTTTATAATAGAATTTACCCATGGACGTCTCTAAAATGGCAGTCGTTAATATTCGAATAAATTCAGGCTCTTTGACTCGATTACCTACAGTTGCCTGTAAACAATTAATAAATAATTAATGAACAAGTATTTAATACAATAATAAAATATATACAAGTAAATTCACAATATTTACAATTATCCAACTGCAAATCACATCGAAACTACTATCTTTCATGAGTCTTATAAGTTCGTTATGAATTTGCTGTAATGTGGGCTGATTACTAGTTGAGCTTTTGGCACTATTATAATCACCAGTGCAGACCTCCAAGTTCTAAAAATAACCACATGTCATTAGTTGTATTCTTATAACTGGAATTTGCTAAAAAAGAAATATCATTCAGTATATAACTTTAATAATCTTACATAATCTTTAACAATTTTATCAGCGTCTTCAAGTTCTGGATCAATTATATTGCTCAACTGAAGTCCACTTTGGTCCCATTTATCTGCGACCCATTTGGGTCCTTTACTTCGGTTTACTTTTGACAGAATTTCCCCAAGAAATCTGCCTACGTAACCTCGACTTCTTAAACTATCAAACACAGGTTTCAATTCTGATAGAGAAAGTACTTCATCTTCTAACGGATGTGCTGTAAAAAGAGGACTGTGATACTAGTTTTCCTTTCCTAGTGTTAAGAAATTATATTTATATTAATACTCTCAGGCCTGTTGAGCAAAAAAATCCCGCACGGAAATTTACTATGGTGAAAAATAATCATCACAAAAGATAGTTTTGTTTTAACGCAAAAGAAAATATGACAGTAACGAATACAATAAAAATTGCTTACCTAATACCTCTGACAAATATGTCCAAACTTTGGGTATATCGAGTAAAAGATCATCGACTAATTCCAGTATTTCAATGAACCTGAAAGATTAATCACATTTCAATTATCTGGAAAAATTGTATTTCTAAAATGTTTATATTTAAATGATATTCAGTATCCTTTTGGCTTGATATTCGATTATCAACACATATCTTATTCTGCATAAATGGTTCATCAGTTATTTTATTCTAAGAAATTATTTTTATATGAATCATTTACTTAACGTATTATAATTGTATGAAATAATACCATTAAATACTATATTTACGAAACGACTTACCCATTTCTTAGATGTTGTAATGGCAAAATTTTCTGACTAATTAAATGCGACATGAGACGAGAAACGTGTTCTCTGTCAAGAGGAGACTTTTCGAGAACAAAATTAATCAATTCACGTATAAATTTAGATAACGTACTGTCGAAGTTCTGCTGAATAGCTACTGCAGCTTTCTGTAAAATAATTTATACAGGCAATTAATTTTTTAATTAATATTAATAAGTATTACATAACAAAAACTAGATATATTTAAATGAAACGAATGTCCGCTCGTTGGTCGTACAAACATTAATTAGTATAAAGTTAGCAGAAGAGCTAATATTTATAATAATGTTCGTAAAGACCAAAAAGAAGATATTACATAATTTAGCACATCAATGACTCAAGCATCTCCTAGTGAATAATAGAGATGGATCTAAGGAATGTGCAACTACTGCTTATACATTTAATGTAAATAACTCTTAGTAATATTAAATGAAAAAAATAATACTGATATAACATAAACTGACCTCAATATTACCACCTTTCAAATAATCTTTTAATATCTTGTTCAATGTTTTCATGAATTCTTCATCATTCATTGGAGGTTTGTTACTTTTAGAGGTAGATTGTGAGGATTTCAATGGTGGTGGTATAGAAACGTTTTGACTTTGTGAATTATCTAATAACGAGCTATCTCTGCTCGTCGACGAACTGCTTAACTGATGACTACCATTGCGTGAACTCCTACCATCTGTAATAACAGACGTTTACAAATGACTTATTGCAATAAAAAAATTTAATAAATAATTTTAGTTATTCGAAATATCAGAATCCTTTTGGCAAACAACACTAAGTTTTACTTTTCAAAAATTAAAAAAGTTGTCATCATGTTTAATAGTAGTGTGACAAAAAAAAAGAAAAAATTATATTATAATAATTCATACCATAGGAAGGTTTGTAGTCACGACCATACTCTCTTGGACCAGTAGATCTCAACCTGAAATGTTAACAACTTTGATAAAAAACAGAAAGCACCTTTCCCGTATGCAAAAACATATAAGTGTTAAAAATAATCAGATCTTTCCTTATGATCATAAGATAAAAACATCAGAAACTCTAGCCTAGACAAATACATATCATCATATTCATTTTGCAGCATAAATAATAAAGAAAATTTATCACGAGAAGCTCACCCAGGGAGTTGTGGAGATGGCATTCGTTTCTCTTGATCTAATGTTGACATATTTTCTAGCATTGCAAACTTATTTGAATTTATTGCTTTTGTACCACAATTTGAGGGCGTTTTCCACATATACATATTTCTGCTTCCCAATTGTAGGTCATCCATTGCAGGCTAAAATAAACAGTACTTTGCACTCATTCTGCATTTTCATTAGAATACATATCAAAATATCAATTCAAAATTACTTACAGGTTTGTTTTTAAGCTTTGATGTTTCAACTGAGTACGTCTGTCTTGTTCTTATTGGCTGACTCCAACCACTTTCATCAGTTGGACCAACACCACCTGAATTATAAAACATGACTTTGAGTATTTATATACTTATTTGTCGAAAGTATACTATTATATAAAGGAATGTATGCTCAGTACATATTTTATAATCATTTTCCTCAGAAACTCTAGTCTGTTAAATGTATCATCATTACCTTTACTATTTTATGGAATATTATTTAAATTTTATTTATAAACAAATACTTACGATTCCTTTTCCTATCATTGGTACGTTCATCTTTTCGAGGTGTATTTAGAGGAGTGTTACTCAATTGGCTGTCTAATCTTTCAGACTCTGCTTCCCTTTGAATTTGATCTATTGTTTTAGGATTACTTTCGTCTCTTCTTGGGACCCATTTATTTGCTCTCAAATCTATAACATCTTGCAGCATAAATCGAATTCTGGAGCTAATTTTTCCTTGGTTTCTTCTTGAAACTATATCTTGCATTTTGTTGAAATAATCTTGCATTTCCTAAGGAAATAAAGCAAAATAACAATAACATTTTTTAAAAACATTTATCTACATAAATTTTCAATGAATAAAAAGTACACTTGCTTCTGCAGGTCCTTTGTTTTCCAAATCTTTTCCAATAGTTGTTAATAATTTACACAAACATTCTAGACTGTCTTCATCATTCTGATTTAGCAACTCTTTTATGCAGCGACGCATGATTTTAGTCGTTAACATTCCTTGTTTATAAAGTTCACCAATAAATCTTTGGAAATAAAAAAATATTTAGTACTGAACTATTAATTGAGCTCTGTAATAAATAATTACATTTTCATGTTAAAATTACTTACCGTATATTTCCTACGGATTTTATACGTATGCGACGTTCTTCTTCTTCAAGAGCTAACTGCAAATCTTTTTTCCTTTCCTAATTTTTACATATAATTATTTCATTAACAATAACTGCATATATGTGAAATATAAAAAATATATGGAATAATCTGTTCAAAAATCACTCACAGGATCTGTACATTCATCGATTTCTTTAAGTCTAGCAGCTCTTGCCACTTCATTCACCGGATTCTTTTCAAATTCATTTTGACAACGAGTAATGATGAGCTTTTTGAAACTAAATGAACCTTCTTGTCTCTCAGAATTTTTGTCCCCACCTGAGACTTCCATCATAGCTAATTCTTTACACATTAATGCATATGCTACTGAGAAACTTGGTTCATCAACAGCCTGAAAAGTTATATCATTACATACGTGCACGTATTAATATATAATTCTAGAAATACTATAAAAAGAAATGTAGAAAGTAAATATACCTTTTCAAAAACTAAATTAATGACACCTTGCAAACGCTCTGGAGTATCAATATTTAGTGCTCGTACTTGATCGACTAAAGTACTAAATTTCTGAGGTGTGAGTTTGTTTAATACACTTCTGACTCTCTTATATAGAGCCTCTGTCTTTGCCTCTTCCTCGCTAAGACTAGTACCTTTTAATCTTGTTGGCCTCCATGCATTTTCTGTTTCCCTCAATTTTACATCTTCCCTGAGAGATAACGACATATGAATAATATTTGGTTTCGTTGGCTTCGATGATCTTCCTGGTTGGCTCTTATTACGATTCGCTAGTGGCTAAATGAAAGATAAAATGTTGTATTAAAACGCGAATATTCGTAACTTAATATAAAATTGAAATATCTTGTTAGTATCAGAAGAAAGATTATCACTCAAAAAATTTCAGTCCACTACTTTCATTTATTAATAATAAACATCATTATGGGTTAATTAACCAAGTGAATATATAATTATGTATATAAGTTTGTAACTTTTTAATATTTTTTTGACTTACCACTCGTGTAATATTAGATGGTTGTTTGTTTATAAATAGAGGGAACATAAGATCGTGTCTATTCATGTTTGCATCTTTAAACGGTCTAAGGTCAACACCAACACGTGCCTATAAAAATCAATTACATATTAGTATATGCATATACGTATTACTGATCATGAAACATATGTTTTTATTATTTATCAAAATAGAAAAAGACACCTACCAATACAATTTCTTCCTATTTTGATAAATAACGAAAATTGAATCAACAAAATGTATACAATACCTTTGAGCTATCTTTCAAAACAACATCTAAATCCGGTAGATTCGATGGCTTGATTTTGCTATTTGGATCGTTCTGAAGTCTCATTAAAAATTCACGGTCATAAACTTTTTTACCGGTCGTGTTTATTGGACTCCATTGATCATCTTTATATTTATATTTTAACATTATTTGATTCGAAACTGGTGTTGTCGTTTCCGTTTGGGCTGGAGGTTCATTCTCTGCTGATTTCTCAATAACTGGAGATACCTGCGGCGTTTTTTCCTCGCTAGGTACTCGTGCTGCCGAAACCTTCGAATTTTCTTCATTCTTTTGTGCTACTATTGCTTCCACATCAGGCTCCTCTTTAACTATCGCATGATCCACGACATCATTAGGAACTGATTTTACTTGCACGTTGCATGCATTTGATTTATTGGAATCCTCTATTTTGGGTGAAGATTCCTTTGCAGTTTCTTTGTTGCTTGACAGTTTTTCGATAATGGGTGTTTGTGTAGGAGTAGTGCTTTCTTTAGGGATTTCGGATGTCGTAGGTGAGTGTTTCTCCGTCTTCGTATGAACAGAAGAAGAGATTTCTTTCTCCTTTTTCGATTCAGAATTATCTTTTTCATTGATTTCTTTTGTTATCTCTCGACTTGCCTCCTTATTGCTGTCCTTTACCACTAAAGGTTCTTTAATGTCTTGTTTTACGTCAGTTTTTGCCGGAGGTATCGTGTTTACAAAAGCATCCATATCTGTGCCTTCCTTCTCCGCTCCTTTGCGATTAAGGTCACGGGGTTTGAGTTTTTTATTACTCTTCTGTTTCTGCATGGCTTTACCTATAAGACAAAAAAATAAAACCATATTAATATCGTTGAAAAAATTAAAGAAATAAATATCGTTTAAGGAGGGTCAACCTTGGTCTTTTGTACAGTATAATATAATGTAATAAAGGAATCTCTCTCTATTTTGTCATTTATCTTCATTTACCTAAGAAGCTTATCCTGATAGCCATAACAACTCTGTTATACAGGTAGCACTTTTTCATAAATATTTAAATACATATGCTTAAAAGGAAGTATTTTGCACGTGACAATGTTGATCCTCCTTAATACGATTTATATATTCGCAATTTATACAGTGATACATATTAACGAAGTAATGTCTGTTAATTCATATTACTTGACTAGTGGATACATATTAGAAACATCACGTTGATATCACTACAGAGATGCAAGCTGTGAAGAAAAGTGAGTATTTCGGCTACAAGCCAAGGATAATTATAGTCTCAGATCACGGTACATTTCGTACGGTGACATTTCAATTATTTTCATTAATGTACATATAAACAAATTCGTGACTCGTAAAAACTCGTAGAGATTGAGTCTCGATATCGATACAAAAAAAAAAAGTTATCTATTTTCATTGCGATCGAATAGAAACAAATCATCTTTTGTAAACAGGAAATATATTTGATCGTGTGTAATCAAGTATCCGCTTAAACAAATAATTGCAAAAGCAGTTTGTAATAAAAAACGTAATAGCGTTATATAAGATATTTAAGAAATTTCCTTGCAAACACTGTTTGATCAAAAAGATAAGTTCTCTTGAACTATCATGAAAATATATTTTGTTTAAGCAAAGCATTTTATGTAGAATCAGTCACAAAAATATTTCGGTGTATGATGTGAAAACACATCATACAGTGAACTAATCATTCCAGTTCCCAAAAGAATTCATTTCATTTATTTTGTCATGTCCAATTTACCAATCATTTTTTGATGAGTCAAGGCGAATAATTTACTGCAATGTTAAAACCGATAAAGTTTAAAATGTTATAGATAGAATTAAACTAGGCAACTATAAATAGAATTAAACTTAAAATTCAAGTATACTAAAAATGTGAGTCAGGTTTGTCACACTCGAACCGCGGATGCGTCACAAGTGTGACTTCATATACAAGAGATTAAAGGCTATCCGAATATTTTTGTGATTGACCGTATGTCAACGGACAACTTTATACTTTCGAATATATTTATCGGCGAAAATATTGAGAGAATAATTTACGGATAGACGTTAACATTGTTAGCGTTTGAAATAAAAGCACAGAAGATCGGTATGATGATGATGTATGTCGTGATTTCTCCTGTTAACGCGTGTTACCAAGCATTGTTTGACGTTCTGCAAGCTAGATATAATATGGTATATATACCATGGTCTCTGGAGCCCCGTCGGTTACGACTTCTTGATCGGGAGCTACCGCTGACACGACCGCTACCATTAACTTTACGGTCACCCATCTTTCCGACTGTTTCGATAAACGTGTGCCTGCACACTACTGTTATTCACACGTGTTCAAGCCACGGTACGCCTGTCCTTCTCGTATCAGAATCATATCGTACATTACAAGTCACATTCTCGTTACACAAAAACTCTCTGTGCGGCTCGAGTTTCAACGGCCTGTACTACTACTACTACTGCTGCAGCACTGAATCAGTATTTATTTATAAAGCTGCCAAAAGCTTGCCAAAGCTGGGGTAGATGAATCCACGTTTACACACGCAACAATGTGCAACAATGAAGTTTGCATTTTAAACTGTTTATCCTTCCAGCGAGATAAATCATCGAGGGAAATGGAGTCCGAGTCGAATGGGAAATTCACACGAACAATCGCGAAAACGTATGAGTAAACGACTATTTTAAACGATCAACCCTCTCTGCGAGGAATAATATTATTTCGATACGGTTTATTGGAAAACTGTGGCGACAATTCAAAAAATCACTTCGGAAGCTTTTTCTTACACGACTTTCACGCATCTATTTTAACCTGTGAACTGGTGCAAACCAACAGGCACGACACAGGATTTCTTAAATTAGTTCTGTTCGCCGGTTGAGCGCCGGAGCACGCGCATTACCGACTTTCTTGATAACCTAACCTAATACGAGCTGCTTTGATCGAAATGTATCAAAAATACGAAATCTTCGTGTCTCCTTGTGTTTACGACTGTTAAAAAATAGATATAATGATAGAAAAGTAAAGGAATTAAAAGTGGACAATATCTGATAAAAAGCGTGTAAAAATTTCTGTATAAGTGTACGTTTTAAATAAAAGGTAATATCAAATAACAATGTGTCTTATAAGTGCAACTTAGTGCAATGATATATACGCCACCAGCGAACAGTAATACGATCATTTAAAATAAAATTCTAGAATGAAATAATTTGCTTCGAATAGTATTTAATTTGATGCATGAAAGTAGCTCGAGTAGGATTTATAAAATCAGGTCGAGGTAACAATCTAAAAAGAACATTGAACAATCACTAAATGTATATGCAATATTTCCTTCGGTTCTACTGTTGTTTCGATTAATCGAAATCGATTACGATTGTATTTATTTTTATATATAAAACAATAAAAGACTCAAATACTACATAAACCTTGCTATGAGAACTAGAAAAAAATAAAATAAAAATTAAACAGATAATCTTTACTTCCGATTATTTATTCCGACGAATAAAATAAATTCTTAATCATTCCATCTGTTTCTAAAATCAAATAAAATAATTTATCGTTTTTTTATCAACAAATATATCCCCATATGGAAAATGTACGGTTTATACAAATATTTTTCCAACCAGCGGGAACCTTTCACCCGATTGGTGAGCGCTCAAGGTTGCCACTGACGCCGAAAGTCTTAAGATATTTTTTGCACACGCACGACGTGTGCTCTTGTGAAACGACATTAACAGACATCTTAACTATGTACACACAAGTGTATAGTAAGCTTTTCTCGATTGAGAAGAGTGGAGGAAGGAGTGTCTCCCACCTATTCTTTGATTACTGGAATTCAGCACTTGGTGGCAGGAGTCTCCGTCACGGTAAAGAGAACGTGAATTGTACGCAGGATCTAGTGATTTTTAAACTTTATAAATTTCACGATTTAAAGATACTAAAATTTTCATACTTATATTTCTTTTCATACGTATATTTTTTGTTATCTGAAAATTTGTACGACTTCGCTATACATAGCGATGGAGACTACATATCCACGTCTCTTGTACGCACAAATAAGGAACAAGAGTGAGTCAAGCAAGCAGTGGGAAATTCCTTCCTGTATACTTCCCCTTAACTAAGAGAAGTCTACTGCTACGTACGCATGTGTATGCATGAGGCTCGCTATAGATACATGCCGACCATGACCCCATATGTTTTCGTAAAACGAAGTATGAAACAATATTTATGATGACATATATATTTACCAAGTTACATACTCTATTTCTATAGTGCTTCGTATTACTTGGAACAACAAATTTATTTGTTATAAAACAACATATGCAATGAAATTTTCATTTTAATTAAAAATTTATCTTAACGGGTAACGATAATAATACTGATGCCTTAAAGTTGGCTTTATAACATAAAAATTTAAGGAACATAGAAAAAAGGAATGGTAAATTAGTAGATAGTGACACGCCCATTAAACCCCCTTATGGTCGCGTTTCTATTTTCAGACGACTAAATTTACTTTCCCTTTCTCAAAATATTCTTATCGACGATTTAAATAATATGATGAAATGATACTTAATTTAAAATTTTTATTAAAATGCACATGAATATAGGTATAAAAAGAATTATGTTTTCATTCATTAAATCCCTTATTTTGCTTTTTCGTATAATTATAATTAAACAGTATTTAAATCACAAAATAATAAAATGAGCAAATCAAGGTCGTAAAAGATAAAAAGAGAAAAAAATAAAGCAGTTTCATTTATCGCGCATAGAAACTGGTGATCAAATATGGAGTATATCTCTTTTCTGGCTGTTCACAAAATGGCTACATACTTGTAGATAGCAAATATATGCGTAAAATATTGAAGAAAAATGATAAAATGTTTAAAAATATTTTATAAAAAAATTAAATATAAATTAAGAACATAAATTTTGTCTTTTAAAATATATAATAAACTACATTTTTTAACGTTAGAACTTTCTGCAAACACGTGGTCAGAGCATGAACGATAATATTTTGCCGTAGATACCAAATATTGAAAATTATTTTATATTAAAGTGAGTATCCTGATATTATTGCATAAAAGCTTTGACTAATTTTTTCAATATAAACATATTATTTATGCATTAAATGAGAAAAACTTAGTACACGTTGGGTGCACTTCGGAGCAGCCATTTTTGAACACACTCGTGGCTCAATCTTCGGAAAATATTTTATAATTTATAAGTTCTTTTTTTTCCAACAATAAACTAAAAATTATTACGGACAAAAATGCGTAGAATATTCATTCACTGGAACTATTAATTTTCGTGTATAATAGAATTATCAGTCTTGTACTGAAATCTTACACGTGTGAAAGATGTGAATACAAAATGTCGGAAGCACGTTGAGCAAGGTGGATACATTTCCAATTGTACACGTAGTAAGACCATTTAAAACGAAAAATAGCACGATTTATACATACATTTTGTAACAATATTGTTCCCAATCGTCTTCGTTGCATCCGCTTGGTCACTTCGTCACAGTAACAATTTTAAAAAACAAAATGGAATAAAATCTTGATCTCTTCAAGGCGATACTTAAAACTTTCAAGTCCAGCAAAAAAATAAGTATTTTACAAAAAAGAAAAGAACAAAAAAATAATAGCAATAAACGACGCGTGTAAAGGGCGCTTCGTTATGATCAAATTAAGGAGTATATATGTACAAATCTTCAAAGTAAAGAAAGATAAAAATCTTATAGGAACGGGATACGGTAAGATGCGATTTAATAAGCGTATTCGTTACTTATGGTGCTTATGGTGTAAAAGTTAAAAATGAGTTACTTTTTAAATAATACAAAGTTAAATATATGTTTATGTATAATTATGAATGTACAATTCTTGTTAAAAAAAAAAAAATTATAAAAGGAAAAGGGAAATAGGGAAAACGGAGTAAAAATACGCCCGGCTAGCACAGCACGTGCTGGCTACTGCAGGACCTCCGTTGTTCGATGGGGAAAGAAGCCGGGAACCTCCCTCCAGTAATACAATCACCGACGTTCGTGTACTTTCGGTACATTTCGTGTCTTTTCGTCGTACGATGATGTCACCGTTTAGCATGAAGCTCCTTCGAACTTCTATACTCCATTCAACGAAAGATTGTACTCTATTCGCGCAACATGGCTAACTTCAGGAGACTCCCCCACTAGTTACTGTTACCCCACTATCATACGCTTTCTACTTCATCGGCCATATATACAGTGGACTACAATATGTGAATTGCTAGGAGGGGCTATTTTCAAAGCTTACGAATCCTCGGATTTCCAAATCTCAGACCAGTACATATGGCCGTGGACATGCCTAATGTGAAGAATATATCAAATAAATGATCACTAGATAAATGTGTTAGGAATCATGAAAGTTATAACACACATGCGCGTCGTTCTTGGTTACAAAATGTGCTCGAACCAATCAGAATTGACATGCGCAAAACGAGCTAGAAATCGTCGTATAACGAGTATGGTCCCTCGTCGAACAGGGTGTATGTATTATGTTTCGATCATTGAATAAAGACCCGTCCACATTAAAAACATTTATATCAGAAATTTATTTATTATTCGTTTATTTCTTATTTATTTTAAGCAGTTCATTTCAAAATCCACTGCGTAAAATACAAAGTTATGACCTTCACAAAGTGATTCGATAAAAGGACGAATCGAATTTGTGAAAGGCGAATTCTGTTTAATGAGTATTTGTCCTATACTTTGATTCTATTATACGAAATAACAGGAACATATTTCTCCCAGAATTAAAATGTAATTTTATTATTAAACAGAATTATAACGAACTTACCCTTTTTTTTGTTCCCCATTTTGTAAACTATACACGATAAATCAAATTTGAAAGACTACCACTCTAATATATTTAACTTGAATTTATGATAGCAAGTTTTTTTCAATAATTCACAGTAAGAATTTAGAACAAGTTAATCATTTCCACTTCTATCACAATCACGATTCAAAAGGCCCTGTCTTTGAAAAATTTTAGTTCGCCAAGTAACGCAGGAATGTTTAATCATTTCAAATTAAAAATATGAAAAACGCACTTCACTTGTCAGAATATTTGCGTGTTTACCAATATTAATAATGTATACACTTAAGTATGCCATATGAACTTCACAAAAATACGTTACTTTGAATGCTATTTTTAGAAACGTTTAGTGTACTCTTTAAAACTTTTGTATAAATGTATAAATATTTAATGCACGATTATATTTTAATATATACCGAAATAAAAACGAAATCACAGGTCATGAGCCAAGGTATTATTCAAAAATTTGCATTACAACTCGAAAGAATAAAAATCATGGGAACTATAGAACTTTTAGGTTAGAATTAAAGCAAGTAATATCGCACGCCACAGTAACACAGAATGTCCCTTGTCATTGACAATATTTCAAACCAAATAACTACGCGAAGTTACGTGCACGAATGCTTCGTACTGTATAAAAAAACCGTTCAAAAATATTCTGATCTATTTGCACGTGCGTAACGTAGAGACACGACTTTTATGCGTTCGTACACACACGTGCCTATAAAAGGCACCTTCGCGGGTGAGCACACTATATCACGATTTCCAACAATTTCGAGAATCACGCAATACTCGAAATATGAGTACAAAAAATGCATTAACTGAATTACTGGTATATAACTATTTATGTATATGTAGAATCATGAACAATGATGACTACTGAAGATATCACGAAAGCAAAGTTCAGGCTAAAGTGATACGTGAAAAAGAGAAGGGAAACTATCAAAGTCCTAACCTATAACACGATCTTTCATACCCAAGAATATTTACTGTGTTCTTGCGAAAAAAAAACGTTTGGTAACACAGCGGACAGAGATACACTACATATTAGCGATAATAATACAAAGAACATAGCAAAAATATTAATTAGTATTTTTTTAAATATTGTATTACATAATTCAAATAGATATGACGTTCGTGTACTGCAAAAATTTATAGAGCAGTATATTCAAAAACTAAACAAAATGAAACCAATTTAGCAATTTTTTTATTTTTATTAGCAATTTTTAAAAGCAATACTGTTATATAAATTTATACTAATAAAGAAACATAAACGAACAGCAGTACTTTCTATCTACAACAATACTTACATGTATTGTAATTGTAATAAATGAATGGAGAAAGATCATGAAACAATTTGTTAACAATTATTTTCATGATACACTTTACATTGTAATATGTAATGTATATATATTTGAAATATGTAATACAATTTTAATACAAATTGTTCACTTTCTGATTGGTATCATTATACTATTTAACTAACACATAAAAATATTAATCATTGACTATTATATTAGTTTCAGTATTTTGTTAAATGTTAAAAATTTTGTTTATGAAATGATGATGATATTAATTAAAAGAATTTTCATATACAAATTATCTTTAAAATATTTTTAACGTTGTTGTGTTAAAACGAAAGGTTTTATAGATCTACCGCTACAAAACGAACCGCGGATTCTAACAACGCAGAATGCACATGCTTTTATGTAGTCCAGAATCACGCCAAAAACACAAAATAGGCCATGAGAAATATCCCAATTTTAATAAGTTAATAAAAACGATACAATAGTCAATGCGTGGAATAACACATGTTATACTTGAGGATGATATAAATTGTAAAATTGTGCAAAAACTTACCATCGGATGATTTTTGCTGTTGGACTTCAGTTCGCGCAGTCTCAGGTTCTGGTTTATCTGCAGTCGCATCTCCGTTCGTTTTCGGATGATGATCCGTTTGATTGTGAGCTGGAGTCGGGGTAGTGCCTCTAGAACTAAGACTTTTTTCCCTCGTTTTCTTTTCTTTTTGTTCTTTGGCACTGGAAGGCAGCTCTGTTGCAGTAGCAGATTGATTATGAGTATAAGTTTGAGATTTTCTTCTAGGTGGTGAACTCGATGAATTTTTATTGGATGAGCTAGGGAATATTTCTCTGGCAGGAACGGGATTAACACTGGGGGCAGTGGCGGACGGTTTTGGGATCTCCGGAACGTTCGTACTTGATACGGGAGTCACAAGGGGAACTGATGTCTGTGTTGCGATAGATGGGACACTCGTACTCTTCGCCTCAACTTCAGTTGCAGTTGCGGAGAGTAGCTGCGCAGAAATATCATCCTTATTTACATTACGCGATGCAGGCGGTGGTGCTGGTTCCTCCATCACCACATTTTTTATTTCGCCACGGGGTTGAAATTCCTTCGCAGGAATTTGCAATGGTTTAGACTCAGTTTTCACTACACAAGAGTCTAGTTGAGCCACGTTATTAGTAGTACCTAGCGATTGACTACACAATGCGGTTACATTAGATACATTCTGCGATGCAAGTGAACTGGTACTACACTGGCTGTTCACATCATTATTAGAATTTGTTTGAGAATTCGACAAACTTTGTGTTATATTTTGAGATGTAGAAGATGTGTTTGATACACAGGTCGGTACCGTAGAGTCAGGACTAGACTCTTCGGTTGCGACTATTGTAAGAGTTTTTGCAACTTGGGCTGCAAAGTCGGCTTGCACCTCGGCATTATTGTTCTGTAACAATCACCAATTCTGCGTGATAGACAATGATACATAGCAATCAACATAAAAATTATGCTTGATAACTAAAAACTGGCTCCAAACTCAAATCATAGGATGAAAAATAAAACCAAATATACTATGAGAAATAAAATAAATATTCAATGTAGCTTATGTTTCTGTTACCCTTTAGCAATGGTTTCAAATATATAAAGCATCGTTATAAGAAAATTTGTTTAAAAAATATGTTTAACACGTTGATTCTGTTTTTATAACATTTAAATTCTATGAAAAAATGTTTCAAAAATTTTGAATAACAATATTAAAATTAATGAGAATTTTTCATTTCTGTTGCAACTATGAATATCACATTTTTAATCACCATAACTTTTGGGTACAGATATCATTAATATAAACAATTGACTAGAAGAGACTTGTAGATTGTACATTATCAAATGTGTTTAATTTAAAATAAGAATAATTTAATTTTACAATAGTAATACTGTTTAATCAATCTTTTATCTAATGCATTTTTAAGTATAAAATTCTTATAGTCAATTGTCGATAAATTAATATTCAAGTATTACTCACTTGTAACTGAGGTGTTTCACGATTGCTAGATTCACCACTTTGAATTGTTTCATTATCCTTGTAAATTTCGTGACTTATATTTTTACCAGTTGAAGGATCTACAATATCAGTAATAGCATTTTGTCCTCTTGGTTTCCGAGATTTTGTCGTACTATTCGTCGAACTTGCACCACCATTATGGCCTGAGTACACATCTTTAAAACACAAATAAATTCACTCTCTGAGTAATATAATCACACACTGAATAAAGTATTCGATATATTTTATGTACTATAATGAAGCTTCGTTCGTTTTTAATCACTTACCACCATATAATCTATATACATTATTTGCAACATACATTGTTTAAAATTAATAACTAATAAATTTAATAAAGTAATATCTTCGTTTCAGAGTAAGTTACAGATCAACGTACAACATTACAACGTATGCTTCCACTTATTCGGAACGAACTGACGAAAGAGTTGTCCGAAAATGTTACGAAAGCTAGAATTCGGGTACTTTACCTGCGCTTTTACCTGACTCCAAAGGTAAACCATTATACAGATCTAACAGTTCTGAAGATTCTAAGCCTTAAACTTCCATTGTCGTATGGAACTTTCAGTCATAAATAACACCTCTTTCACCGCTTATAATTTCAGGGAAATACGCAAAAGGGAAATTTATGTCCCTTTTTCACTTGAACATTTATTCTCGCAAGATTTATAAGCCTCAATTGTTTAAGCTACGTTGTAGCTTAATGATCACGAGATTGTAATTTATAAAAAATAAATACTCTAAACCATACGAAGTCATCCATATTGGAATATTCATTACTTTATTAAAAATATATTCTTTACTTAAAAAAATCGACTTGTTACACATTGCAGATTGCATAATCGAACGATCTGAGTAATGTTATTAATGTAATATATGTGTTATGAATTATTTATAACTTACCAGTCTGAGAAAGAGATATACCTATTGGAGGTAAAGGCTGAGCCTGTTGCGTAGGTTGCTGAAGTGTACCTTGAGGTACTACTGGGGCTCCTTGGGCACCGGCCAGCGGGCCTGCAACATGTTGCGCCCCACCAGTAACAGCACTTGCACCTGCCCTATTTAAACTTAGTGGCGTATTTGCTGGTTGCCCAGTGCCCCAATAATCTATAAAATAAAATATGAAATTAATTGTAGTATGTGTAATATTTATAAATATACATTATATGTATATTACTTACAAGGTTGTGGAGTTGGTGTTGGGGGGGTACCATATCCAAATATATTTTGTGCCGTTAAAATGGCAGAGTGTTGAAATGGTGGGAAATATGACTGATTTTGATGCGTTTGATGTCTCTGTGGTGGCCCACCAAACTAGAATTACAAAATATTTATTACACTTACAATCAATTATTACCGCCAGACATGACAAAGATGACAACATTGTATAGTTAAATGACATTTGAAGGAAAGATGAATAAAATCAATGAAAATTTGTACATGACCAACATTATAGAATATAATACAGCTTTTTTCAACAAACATTCATCTCTTATTAAATATATAAAATCAACAGCACTTAACTGCTACCTGAAGGGGTATTTGATTGTTCATTGCGTATACGGGCTGCTGATGAGGACTAGGATGAAGATTGGGAACTGGATACATTGTTCCAGTTTGAACTGGCAAACCACCTGGATGAAAAATCGCAGTTGGTTGACCTCCACCTCCACCAACTCCGGACATTCCCACTACCTGTGCACCAGCACCTCCTTGACCACCTCTATGACTAATACCCCTTGGTTGTTGTGGTCTTGGACCTGGGTAATAACCCTGGAATGGATTAACAAATCAGTTAACAGAATTCACAAATTAGTTCTTGATAATTATATACTGTAATAATTGCTCACTTGTGATGTTGGCCTCGTTTGTGTTGGCCCATATACTTGTGATAGAGGTTGTGACTGAGGTTGCAAATGAGCTTGTTTTCCCATTTCCTGTGGTGAGGGGGTATGTACGGGGGGTGTTGTAGTAGGTGCCGGACCTTGCTGCTGTTGTGACTGTACCCCAGGTGCTGGGGTTTGAGGCGGTGCTTGTCCCCCAGCAGGACCTCCTGGCGGTATTCCTGCCGCTGATTGTCCTATGGACTGTAAACCGCCGAGTGGTGGAGGTCCTCTGCCCCCAGGTACTCCTACGCTACCCCCTCCCCCTCCCACCTGCCCCCCTGGTTGGGTGCCGTAATTTTGTCCAGATACATGAAAGTCTGATCCTGTAATTAGAAGTAGAATTAATGACTAAACAATACATTCTGAATAAATTTAAAGCAACAAAAATATTAAAATATTGAAAATCAAGTTAATATTATTATGAATTAAGAGCTGATTGTTAGCTTTGATTTAAAATAATTACAAGACAATAATAATTCAACAAGTAAGGAAAGTTGGAACGAAGGAAGATTGTAAGACAAAGTGAAATATTGTTTTGTATATATTATAAGTAATGTTATATAACAACTGTACTAATAAACACATAAAAACTGAAACCGCCATTACTTCTGAACAGTGCCGGGTTAAATTTATACTATTTTAAATAATCCTTATTCAACAGTTGAAATAAAATATTTTTATTTTTCATGGTTTTAAGTACAAATTAAAATATTTTCAATTTTATATTACATTCAATATTTTAAATATTTCAAAGCAATGAAAGTACATTAAAGAGAGAGTTGACATTACAATGCAAAAATTTGTAATATTTGAAAACTAAATATTTTCCTTTCAAGTATGGCTTTCAAATTAAGATTTAAGGTATAAGTTTTTAAGTTAATACGTAAAATTATAAATATATAAAACATTTTAGCAGTAATTACTCTACTAAGCAATTGCACTGAACTAACAAGTCTATAACAACATGTTGGCAAACAACACAGCATTGTATGATGACAATAGCATAGACATAAATTAGTTTCTGTAACTATTAAATTTTCTTTAGAAGATTTCATTGTTCTCATTTTATTTTTTATTTTTATCAGAATGTAACTGCTAATAATTAAAATTATTTATTTCCAATAAAATGCTAATATCAAAAGTATAAATTAATATTTTATCTCTAACTGCACTAAAGCATTACAGTTAGTTAAACAGTTTGTTATAATATAATTTTTATTTTTATGCTGAAATCACTGTGAAAATAAATGATTATCCTAAGTACAGATGGTAATTGTGGAGTATCTAATAATGATGAAGCTTTCTCATCATAATTATCATTATTGGTTATCAACCAAATCTCAGTTATTCATTTATTAAATTTTATAATGAAAAAGAAAATGAAAAAAAAAACACATTTCGTCAAATATTCAAGCTTGCATATGCGCGATATTGTCCTGTCGTGTCGTGCTCGCCATTCTGTCGTTAAACGAATTACTCGTGAAAGCGATTATGCGTGGAATTGCATGACATCGCTTGACACGTCGTCGCTGGCTAAAAGATGCAGTGCATTTAGTTTCACATTGTACGTATTATCCAAACATTCTGCACATCAATATTGCCCTCCAAAATGAATTACAAATACAGAAGAACAATAACACGCAGAAAATTAAGAATTTTTATAAAACGTGTAACATGTTTTTCACCACATGTTACGAACTTATCATGACAAAATACATTAAGGATACGGATAATGGAACAAAAAAAATATAGATGCTCGTTGCTCACCGTTGAAGATCGGGACGAAGCTGGATAACTTGTTCCGTCAAGTTTAGAACTATACTTATTTGCACGAATATATGTTTACAACGAAAGAACAATGAAGTGACAGCAAGGCTCGAACGTGAGCGAAGAAACCGAGAAGACGGCCTCGCAAACGGCCATCTTTGCACATGTGGGCAGGGGCCGGAGCAGTGCTGCTATCTGTGATCCCGTGAGTGCATTGATTGCTACGAAAGGGGGGCGAGGCCGAACTCCATCGCCAGGATCGTATTAAGGGCCACAAAAACATGTAAACTGTATGCACACCTACGTAGGCTTCTTTAGAGAAAATGACAGTGTAGTGGAAGGAAACCCCCAGTTGTTAAGTTTAAGTAAAATTTCAAATTTAGTCACATTCGGGAATTTAAAGTTTTGAAAATTTGAGAGTTCGAGAATATGCTGCACTTGGAAATTTGAAAGTTAAAAATTCAAATATTCTTTCAAATTCAGAATAAATAGTGCAATGTTTTCTCCCTACATTTATACGAAAAAGTACATGTATGAAGGGATTTCAGTACCATTTGAATAATCTTCGAATATATTTTAATTAAAAAAAGAATTATTCTTAACGCTCTAATGTTTTCATTATATTTTAAATATACCTATATAAATAATGCTCAACTGAAAATTCCTGAAAATATTAAAATTTTTTTTTCCACGATTATGAGAAAAATAATACTGAGAAGAATGGTAACGAAAGTTTTACAACTTAACATGACTTGTTCCTATCTCCAATATTTAACTTCGTCAAAACATATTATTTTATTTATAAAATTTTTATCTAATGACACTGTCGCTTCATACTGTCGTGTTTATACAGTTCAAGAATTTTAATTGCTTTAATCTATTTATTCGTTGTATATCAGTGACTGAACATAATCTTAAATGTATTGTAATCGGTAGTTAAAGACACATATGCTCATATTAACCAGAGTGAAAGAACGTGGCCTGGAAAATACAATCCAGAATGCAACACGTCATTTCCGGTGTCAATTCCCTCCTTCTATCCTTTCCTCTCCCCTACTTCCACTAGTAAATTGCACATAACACGTAGACATGATAAGAATTATATCTCGTACATTGATTTTGAGTATGATCATTCGAAGAGACAATATCATGTGGAAATAATTCGAGGAACATAAAACGTAAGGGGAAACCAGTATCGCACGTAAGAAGATAATACGCACGAAAGTAGAAGTGAGGTTAGAATGATCACACTTCAGCCACGTGGCTTGACCAATACGGGAGAACAATGAATGCTGGATGCGATAAACTTGGCAATACGAACGTTTCATGTGGTAGTAATCTAATTAGAAGATAAAACCTTATCATAATGAGTCTTTTGACTTTTACTTACTGCATTCACTTGTAATTTTTTTTTTCAATGCTAATACTCAAGAACAAAGTGTTACTATCAACAAATAGATTAGTAGTGATAACTGAGAATCTTAGAATAATTGATATCAAATATATGTAATATATTTCTTAAAACTAATATTCGTTATCGATTTTATTAATGGAATTCTTACATATATATGCGATCAATTTTTAATCTGCTAAAATCTGTTGTACGGATTTTTCGTATAAAGAAAATTGACTAATTTTTAAATGAACTTGAAGAGCCCATAAAATTTAGTACCAAAAATGAATGTCATTGCTAATCAGGGATAGACCGACCTCATGACGTAACAGTATGAAATCTTAGAATATGGAAGTCTAGAAATCTAAGTATATTAGAAACAAAAGATATTTTGGTACAGTAACTTTTCGAATGTGAATATGTATTATGATATAGAGACAGTTTGAACCTAGATATAGTAGGAATTTTCAAGATCCGCACTTTCTAAAGTGTAATAGATTAACTCATAAATTACGAGTAAATCTGAATGATTCGTGGTAAATATAAAATATAACAAATTCAAAAATAGTGGTTTCAAAAATGTGGGTCTAGATATAGTAATGGTTGCAAGCTGATTATGAGTTGCGATAAATATTAAAGTATAACAAAATTTAAAAGTGGTAAAGCGATATTTGTTATTCACTATTCTTCCTTTTGAAATGCAAGGAAGTCGGAATAATTTCCGAAAGTGGGTCTCAGCGAACAAAAAGTAAGTCCTATCCTGGAGAGTAAAATTTGTTAAATAACCATAATACGAGTTCACAGAATGAAGAATTCTTGAAATACCAGAGCGTAGGGAACGATGGCGTCATCGTGGCGAGACGTATCATGTAAAAGGAAAGAATCGAACGTACCTTTGCGACTGTACAAGGTAGAAAGCATTTTATCGATTGACCTATATCATGAATTGTCTACAATGCCGCCCAGGGGCGCTAAGGACTAACCTAAATACTAAGCCATCCAATATATCTATCGATACGGTAACTAAACGGAGATTACCAGAGTATTTATCACTAAATGACGTACTCATTCTCACAGAATTTTATTTTTGAGCGAAGAAAATTTTCAAACGAGAACTATATCGTGTCAAGTACAAGCGTAGCACGCCTGGAATCGATACAAATCTTGCGAATTGCACGACGGTATTTTGAAATAAATTTTACGAAAGAAAGTAATAATCTGCTGAATATTACTGTGAGTGGAATATCATGAAATTTATTTTCGCTAAAATTATTCGGTACAATCCGAGCTTGGCCGTGTATCCGCAAATAGACGCAAACGATTCAACTTCTGACAGATAGGGCACCAGGTCAAATTAACTACCTCCAGTGTGCTCGAAAATAACGGGCTTCGGGTGTGTACGTATCTTCTCTATGCGTACAGGTGCACGACTATACGCGGACGTGTGCAATTACGTTTGTACCGACACTTTGGTACTTGTCATAAGAACAGGAAGTTCCGCGTGATAGCGTAGTACTAGAAATTGTACCGTGTAAGGTTAAGATTGATCCTACGAACGCTGGGGAGTGGGGAGATTCGTCGAACCCACTAGGTAGAAAATACTGAGAATGTTATTTCTGTTTTATGGACCAATACCCATTTTCAAAAACGATTTTTCAAAACACAGTCGTTTGTTATGTATTATTTTTGAAATTTTAAGCACTCCAAAATAGTATTGAAGATGTGAGCTTTAGGGTTAGGAATATTTTAATACCGTTACGCTAATTTTAGTAGGTTATGGAAACTAAAATTAACAAACTTAGGAGTTAATCAACTAAATGAAGCAGTATCGGAGAATCTAAGTTCGAAACAATGCTTCCATTGGTCACGAAAATATATGTCCATGATGGAGCAAATTAAAACTGAACACATGCAATAGCAATTGTAACATGAAGTTTTCTGACATGAACAATTTTTATTGTACAAGGTTCGAGTGCTATTTGGAAGTATGTGAGTGTTAAAAGGATAGAGAAGTTTGAAAGCGATTAAAATGTTAAATATAGCAAAAGTAATTAGAGTATAGTATGTACAATGTGCTGAAAATACAATTTTGTTTAAAAATACATATTCATGGGTATTTTAAAGTATTTCATATTTAAATTAAAATTTCATTCGTTATTAATTAGCATATACGTGTGTCACCTTTTGTATCACTTCATCTTTAAATAATCTCTTTCAGTTTTTTAAACAAGAGACATGTCTTCGAACTTCGTATTTATACCCACTGAAAGTTTATTGACATGTTATGTTTAAAGCAGGTATACAGTACTAGCATCTACTATTTTTACCTATGCGGAACAAGTCATCACTTAAATAACCAATAGGAATAGATAGAAATTAAATTCGAATTTAGCACATTTTACCCTAAAACAAAGATCAATGCCATAGAATGGAGGTGCTCAAAGTGTGGGTCTTAATCCATTAATAGGTCATGAGCTCATTTCGGATCGATCGTGATAAACATGAAAGTACAACAAATTTTTAAATAATAAGGTGATATTTTTTACTTAATAATTTTTGCATTTTGGAACTTTAGGATTTTTGGATCTTGGAATTCTGAAATTTTCAGAATCGAGGAATTTTGGAAAATAATGCATCACACACGAATGGGTCACAAAATGTTCTTTTCGAAAATGGGTCTCGGACAATAAAAGTTTGCCCCGCCACAGAAAATTTGCAGCAAATTTCTTATTATAATAATTTCACTTATATCTTATTGAAATGAATGCGCTAAAAGAACCAAGACAAAATTAGGACATTGCAAAAATGAGGTTAACCATTCAACGATTGCGGCTTGGCCGATTCTATAACCTCTCTAAACATTAACAAGCGTTTCATTTAAAACTTCGTGTAACGAGAAAAAGATATATACGTTATTAAAATCTTGAGTACGTAACAGTCTCGTCATCATTTTTTTTTCTATCGCACTTGATCGATTCCCTTCTACTTACTGGCGTTTGCAGTGACGACTCGATACTGCGGCGGTGCTTGTTGATGCTGAGTTTGTTGCTGTTGTTGCTGTTGATGACTCAGGTGGTTAATATTGACAGTCAATTGATGATGGCTCAGCTGATGATTCAAGTGGGGACTCGGTGAGGGTGATGGCTGATGGGCCGGATGCACGTGGTGATTGTGACCTGGCTGTGGATTTTGGGGATGTGGGGCCGAAAGGTGGTGATGGTGATGGGGCCCTCCGCAGTGTGGTAGGGGACAATGCATAGGTCCTACACCTACGGCAACACCCACTGCGCCCTCCTTTGAGACGCCATATCTCGAAACCATTCTTCCTGATGTAAGTTTTTCTTCTTTTTCCAACGATACTGGCACGCCTTGGCCGAAATAGTCAGGACAAAAAAAAGAATGCCGATCAAAAAATTGCGTCTCCTAGAGTTTTCAGGATTATTTCAAATGGCGGACGCATCAGGATTCCACGAATCGTTATTCGTAAATTCGATCATTAGAAATGAACGTTGCGTAAGTATCGAGGAATTTTGGTAGTGATCGAAAGAATTTATTTCCTTGCACGTGTCCGTTCGTTCATATTTCTGAACGACCACCGCGACTTGCACGCTTTATTTCGTAAAAATAAATATTTCTTTCTTTTTTTTTGTTTAGCTCAAAACTATTGATAGTTTTGATGCATTGAAAAAATGGACAATAGTGTATGTCGATATATAACCAACAGTAGTTTCGTTGTCCATAGGTCTCTCAATCGGCAATGCTGTACCATGATGTCGTCATCGTCCACTTGATCGGCAATGCAACAAAGGGCTCTGTGAACGAAGCTCATCTATTATTGTAAAATAGCTGAGTTATGCCCTGCAAGTTCTCTTAAGTTATTGGCAGTTTCGTTTTCTATCTTTAGTGCTTTCTTAAAATCTGTTATATTGTATATACGGTCGTTTCCGATCTTTATTTTCTGTTCGAGCAACAAGAAGTTTATTCTCCTTTCCTAATTGGGTATCAATCCTTTCAGACTTTACGCATTAAAATATGGAATACGAGAAACGTCGAATATTTTCTTTTCTTGAGAAATTCTTGAACAATTAGAAAAATATAGTCCAAATTCTTGACAAAATACGTGTAAATTTGAAGAGCAAAGGAATTTGCATTAGAACGAAAGAAATAAAATGTCTTAGGAAGCATTTAATGAGATAATCGATCGATAGTCACGGAATTTAGCTGCCTGAGTCGCGTTTTGTAAACGAAATGTCTGTACACGTGATGATCTGAAAACAACATTTTCATTCGACACTTTTAAGGGATACAAAAATTTATTCACGTATGCACTTTCATCATTTCGGAAGAAATTCACTGTGCATTTAATTTTCGCATCGAATATACTGCGCCACCATATTGTTTTTGTTTTGTGGCAATGCACGCGATTCCTCTTGATGTGCTAGTCTCACGCTCAACTGTCAAAACTTATCAACGTGGAGGTGCACAATGGTAGGAGACACGCTGAAACGGACGGACTATCGTACTTCTGCCATGCCAAAATCGATATTTAAGGCTCGACCGGCGTCTCCCTCTTCGCGCCGCCCACTCCTGCCACGGGAAACTTCCTGTTCACAAAGCACATACAGGTTATGTCCACCGAGGATGTATTCACTGAACGAAATCAACGGCACACGAGTCCATTTCACAGCAGACTCCGAATTTTCTTCTTCGCACGTTCCTCGTTCCACTATCGAATCACTAGGGGAAGTCTCGAGACCGATGATCGGAGGTATTCGGCCGCGTGCCGAAAAGTACCGAGTCGCGTTCTATGTAGTTCCCTCCGTATCGAGATTTATGAACGCGATAAAAAGGGCCGTAAGCGAAGGAGTAAAATTGTTCGCTGAACGATGCACATAAGACGAATGATACTAGGAAAATTCGATATCACGCACACGTTACGTATATCCGGAAAATGTATATGATGTAAATTGAGATTAAGCAGAAAATTGAACGGCGTCAAGTCGTTCCTAGGCTGCGTTTCTTTTTTTCAAACACCATGAGGTTATCTATAATTTTACTGTCCTTTTACCAAAGGAATTTTACTATTAATTACGATCGACACACGCGCGTGTGTTTAAAGTACTCGTTTGTAACAGTATAACGTGTTAACCCGAAGAGGGGAGAGATATATCAACGAAGACCTCAAGACGAGCGTACCCTTTTGCAAGGGACGCGACGTAGACTGATGCAGGCTAGTCCTTCTCGCACGACCTACGAATCGCGATCCGTGGCCCCCTACCCGTTTCGTTCTGCAACTAAGGAGCGACAGGATCGTGCACTGATTTTCAAAGTGCCCCACCCCATATTACAATTTCAATCCCTCTAAATCCTTTTCATTTTTCACTGCAGCTTGTAATAATTTCATTGATAATGAAATATACATTACGTATGCCAAAATATAAGAATTTCGTAAGATATTGTTTTACGTAGCATATTCACTGCAAAGTGCAGCAAAGGGTAAATTAATGAACAAGTAACAATCATGTTTCTTACTATAAAAATTTGACGTAAATCACGTTTTTTCGAAGGAATAATTTTACAAGTGTAACCTTCATAATTACATCTTGTAATCTCTGTACAGCTTTTTTATCAGAATGAAAACTATATTTTTTTATTTACAAATAAATTTTGATACGCATTTTTTTTACTTTCAGTGTGAGTACATAAATATTATTTATTTTGTTAGTGAATAATTGAGGGTATATTTTGTTTGAGATGGCAAGGAAATTATGTATTATAAATATTAAATATATGTACCACGAGACGGCCCTGAGAAGTAGTCAAACGCCAAACCCACACCAAGTCGAAAGTACGGGCCGCGTGCGCAGGCCAGTGGACAGAGTGTAAAGCCCTGCGCATGCGTAATGGACGTCGACACGGCAGACCCTTCAACTCGCATGAATGCAGTAGGCGCAGCCCCATGGCACTCGAGGGTAAAGTGACGTGCAGCCTTGTGCATGCGCACGTATATCTCATTCGCCTTAACTTTACAACATGTCACACCCGTTAGTTTGTACTTCATACTACTGTGACAACTGTACCCTTCTACATGAGATAGATACACCTCTTATATATTGTAATCGATGTTCTAACATTTTCGAGCAATATACCCTCTTCTTCTAAATCATATAAACCATTGCAAACTTTGCCATCTGAACATTCACAAATTTTTTAACTATACTGGACGACCAAATTAGCTACTTCCTCAATTTGGCGCCAGCGAAATTCACGTGAATGAGAACAGTGGCGTAGCATTGATACTATTTTCGTTTCACGAAAATGGCGCAAAACGGACAAGTAAAGACGACTAATAATTACTGCATCTTTAATCACGTAATATTTGTTTATTGAACATATGCTGTAGATATAAAAAATCAGTATTACTGTAACGCATTTGTAATATGTAGTTTTCTATATATAGACTATATTATTATACACTGAAATAAGGATGCTGTATATATTTAATTAAATGCAATAAAAGAATATCTCTGACAATTTTTTCTGAGATGTTAATAACGCGATAACTTACATAAGTGATCGTTACATATTAGGAACATCTGTTCACAATTATTCAAATCCCTTTTTTGTTTGATTAATCAATATAAGCAGCTAAAATTTGATCATTTGCAATGCAAAATGTTTTCTACAGTATCAAATAATAATTTAATAAAACAAAATGTAATATTGCAGCCACTTTCAGTTATTGGTAGTAAGATCTGGGGAGAAGGGTGAATACTGTTTCTTAACGACAATCAAGACGATGAAGAAACTGAGGAAATAGCGAGAAAAGAACAACGAGTCACGAAGATGCACGAACGTATGCGTGCGTAGGCGAAAATGCACGAGCGCGTGGGTACAGAAACACGAGAGGCGTGCTTGACTTCGTTCAGACGAGGAACAAGATCCGCGGAATCGTGTGTATAGGTTAGGTAGGTAACCCAGTTTTGCCGGTGCACCAGGCCAAGCTGCAGCAACGCCGTTCAGCGATCGATACCTATATGCAGCCGGTACTACCCACAGCCTAGATTCGCTTGTCTAGGATAGGTGCAAGAAGGGGATTGCGTGACCTACATCTCACCAAGAAGTATATCAAAAATATGATTTAAAGTGCCAAAATCAAGGAGTATTCATCGGCAAGGACGATAGAAGAAAAAGAAACATTGCACCATTATGCCGCGTTAACAAGATATAACTGTGTTTACTCCAGAATATTTTATTATAATAGAAAGAAAATTTAATCTTACAGATTAAATTTTGACCATTATCCGACGTTATAATCGGGGAAAATATGCACGCACGGTTTAGGACTGTACATACAATAGAGCTTCGTTATATCTGGATAGAGTAGAAGCAGAAATGAGCAATACAAATGAACCTGCTATACAACGCGTTGGTAATGATTTATTGCTAACACTTGCTAGCGAAAATTTACATATCTGAAAATTTGAAATTTGCTACAACAAAAAATTATAAATTCCTAAATTTGAAAATTCTATTCCAAAAAATTTGAAAACTTGATTTTTAAAGTCCACATTTGGAAATTTGCTGCAAAAAGTAAAGCCACTGCGCAGGACATGTAAAAGGGAGTCAAGTTCTAGCAATAAAATGTCGAACATAAAACGTTGCAACTACGAATAACAAGATAACACACTGTCCTTGACTTTGAAACGATCTTTCACAGACTGAAAGAAAAACAAACGAGTACTTCGTTTCAACCTCGTGACGTGCGATATACGTATAGTACGCATATTTTTTAAGGAAAGCTAAAGTTGAACGAATATTGATGGCAAGAAAAAGCGTCTGGGTCATTGAGAAGAAAAACCAAAGATTTGGGGGTTGAGACGTAGACAGTATATTGTAGACACACGAAATGTGTGTAGAGAGGTACAGACAGGGGGAAAGAGGAGCTAGACCTGTAACCTCTGGCAACCTTCGGTTGTCTCGGTTCAACCATTTCGCCCAGACGAGACGCAGTAGTTCAAAGTCCTCTGGTGAAAACATAGCCACTGACTCATGCTTGCCAAAAGAATTCAAGGAAACCAAGGCATGGTTGTAAACTTTTCCCAAGTACACGATGATTCATCGATAATTAAGCCTTTAAAATGAAATCCCATAAATTTTGGACCTTCCTATGATTGCATCGATAACGGTACTGCACTAATGACTCACTGAACAAAATTCCAACACAGGAAACAACATTCTCCTGCGTTACAAGAGAAAATTTATTACAGGCACGAACGGAACAATGCCCGAGGTGGACAGTTTAAAAAATTTTTGAATACCAAAGAGTTTATACCGTCATTCAGTTGAACAGTTTGCAAATGATGGA